GGAGCAACACCTGGTCGCTTCTGCATGCCCACTGCTTCCACGGCAGTTTTGGGTTGGACGATTGCCTGGACATGTCGCCAACTCGGCCGGGTCGCAGGCACGCATCCTTTGACCTGGTCAGCACCTGGCCGCAGATCCGCTCAGCCAACCTCGGCATAGAAATCAGCCCCGCGAAGAAAACATGGGTATGGGTCAACATTTAAACCAGCAGACCGCAGGCTTTGGTCCATGTTGCCACTTACTAGGGTTCCATTTGGGGTACTTATTTTTGACCCACAGCCACATGGGAAACAAGGAAAACAAGGGTTCAACCGACCTGGGTGCGGAGATTGTGCTGATCTTGTGATTCGCGGTGCATGTTGGGACAACGCTATCCCACCAAAAGCATTGAGACGTTCGGTCAGTGCTCAGCTCACTGCAAGTCAATACAACAAATGTCTGACATCTGGCGACCAAAAGATGTGCCGATTTCTGGCAAAGGGTCTCATCACTTTGATACCTCCGGCAACTCTCAAGAAGCTCCCTCAAGTTCTCCCCTTCCAGCGACTGCAAGATGATGGCCTCTGCCATGCTGCGAACCTCCGAAGTGCAGTACTTGTCCGCGATCGCCCACACCTCCACCATATCCACATCCTCATCCAGGGTTGGCACCTCGAGCCTATATGACATGCTGGCCATTGACGTTGGAACCTACTCACCTTTGCCAGTTAAAGCTGGGATCTCTGCTCTCCTCAGATGCCTATGCATGGCATGGCACAAGCATGGCAAGAGAAACTGGCAACAAAGCGTGTCGGTTGATGATATCGGATCTCAAGATCTTGTGCCATGTTGAGTCTTCGCATTTAAGCCAGCTTAAGAGAGTGCTGGATATGACCCGCTTCTGACATGCAAGAATGAACCATCCCCTTCCTTTCTCTCTCTGCTACTCCCCCAAGCCCAAACCCCCTCTCCCAAACTTCCCCACCCCCACCCCCCTATCGGCCTCCGGAGGTCTCTGCAGCATGGCATAGGCCACGTGGCTGTCCAGCATCGCCAGGAAAACCCGGAACGACTCCGCGCCGAAGTCCGCGATCTCCGCGCGGCCCGACATGGCCTCCACGCAGTGCCCGAAGAAGAGGGCCCTGAACACCGGCGAGTGGGCCGCCAGGAAGTACTTCTTGGCTGCCAACGGCGGGGAGTCCTCCACTCAACCATGACGTTTTGGACGCAGTGACTCCAGATCCGCAGTGTTGTATGTCTTAAGACGGTTTAAGCACTATAGCCGTACTTTGTGAGTGCTTCACCTACAACATTCATGGGAGGTCCATGAATCCGCAGCCCTCCAACTGAAGGCTTATGACTCAACGAATCATCCACATCCAAGCACATTTGCAATGTCCGGAATCTTCCATTCGTTGTTGATGTCCAGATCCCTCGTGATGCATGTCGGTGTGTGTTTTTGGTCGAGGGTACCCCTTTTGCTGCTGTTTCAAAGACCTGACTTTGGGAGGACAATTTAGTGTCGCCCCCCCTCCCACACTATAACCAAAGACTGAATAGTCTGACCAACCCTTCAATGTGTCACAGGGGGTAGTTTTCTTTGCTCCCCTTCCAAACCAGAGAAAACCAAAATTCCTGGTGGTAGCCTTCTCACACCCAGCCCTTCTTACCGTTTTCTCCGGGGCCTGGAACTCGAAATGCACCACATCCTCATCCGCCGGCGTCTCCGGCGTGGGGAGGTGGACCAACTCCAGGCGGGTCAGCTCCAGCCTCAGGGAGGCCTCCGTGCGCAGGCGGTCGTCGCACACGAAGAGCTCGAACCTCAGCGCCGGACCGGACTCGACGTGCGCCGAGTGGCTCAAGGTCGTTTCTTTCACCCCCTCCCCCCCCCCCCCCAATGTTTGGCAATTGGACTCAGGCGCACCCCCCCCCCCCCATTTTTGGCAATTTGACTCCGCGTGATTTGCGCATGCCAGTTCAGAAGTTCTGAGGCAAGCGCTCTTGGTGGCTCTTCAGGCCCATGGGGCTCAGAAACCGCGCACAGTTCTTGGGGGGCCCAGACAAATCCAAGGCGAACTGCAGGGCGCCCGCGCCCAAACCGCCCTTCGAGCCCTGCGCGTCTCCCTTGGGGTCCTTGGGCTCCAGCACCACCGTGGTGGTCCTCAGCTCCAAGAGGTTGGAGCCCCACAGCGAGATGCTGGTGATGGTCACCGGGGCGTCGAACGTCAGGCTCGTGTGGAAGAGGCACACCTCCTGAAGTCAGGACCTTTGGATTTTCATGTTTTGTTTGTGTTTCCTTTTCTTGTTTTGTGGGGCCTTTGCTGGGCAAAAGGAACAAATGGATTGAGTCGCAAAGAGAGCCTCCAGTGAAATGGGAGTCAAGTGTTGGAGGAGTCGATGCTCCGAGCTCTTGTTAAGACATTTTATGCCGGGCACAAAGCTTCCTGAGTTTGAGATCGCCCACGTGCGTACTACATGAATGCGTAACGGCAGCGTATGTACTAGTGATATGCGTGGACACTCCATACCAATATGAAATTGATAGAAGCGTTTGTCCATGGTATGACTTCTCTGCAATGCGGCGAACTCATGCCCAACTCCCAATTCAATGCACCAGGAGTCTAAAAACACCTCGCCTCTCCCCGCCTCGTCTGCAACAAGAGTATGCCAACAAGAATCAAAGAAACCATACGCCCCCTCCTACATTGAGACCTGCGGCCTCACTTCCCCTGCCCAGCCATCCCATGCGTTCCTTGCGGACCCGGGACCGCTCCGTGCCCGGCTTGGCGCCGCGGAGCTGTGCGGGCACTGTCTTGGACAAGGTGCACGCGTCGCCCCGCAGCAGCCGCCGAGCCACCGGATCCAGCGAGTCCAGCTGCAGCATGGCGAGCCAGCGAGCCAAAAATGGGCTGAAGCTGCCGCACATGTTGCCCCCTGAAACCTCCCGTGTGCGTGGGCTGTTGGCTTGCATTTGTATCTGCCTCACAACCGTGTCAACAAGAGAAACGGGCGCGGCCAGCTTGTGGCATGCGGGACCCGTGATCTTGACCAACAGCATCCAAGGGAGCTACTCCCTCATCCCTCTCGTAGCTCTGGCATGAGGCCGGGGCCAGGCTGGAGCGCTTGGATCGGGCCTTTCCCCTGGAGACTGCTTTGGGATGCACAGCAGCTAAGGCGCTCAAACCGTAGGGAAATGGAAGTGGTTGTGTGATGCGTCCTCTCTGGCTCCCTCAGAAAACCCCAGATTGCACACAAGCAGCAACTCTGCAGCGCTGGCCTTGCCGATGCCCTTAACGCCTTTGCCCTTGTTTCTCTCCGCCTGACGGTGCTCGTCACAAAATCAACTCTTGTGCTCTGCCAGTTTGTTCTTCACACACCGCATAATCACTCCACAACTCCATCCTCACCAAGGGTGATCCGTTCCACTGGACAAACCCCCGGTCGCAAAGATTGAGCAGCTAGCCACTTAAATCTCCACACTGGGCCTGGTATCTCTGCCCCGACGCTGTAAAGTCACAAACTCGGCCAATGCGAGACACTGGGAACTTCTCCAGGTGTTCCACCTTGGACGGAGGCCCCCGAGCGGCCTTTCTGATTGCTCAACGAGTGATGCTTGAACCCTGGCCTTCATTACAAGAAAACACATAGTTTCGATGTTCAACCTAGCTCTGGCCAGCCAGAAAAGCCGCTTCGCTGCAATGCTTAAGTCCACCGACACGCAAAGCGCGTTCGCCAAGTTGCTTCTTTGCCAGCCCACATATCACAGCGTTGAGTACTATGACACCCCTCCATGCCCGCCAATGTCAGCTTCCCTGGTGGTTTGGAGGTGTTTCGGGGGGGTTGGCCAGGCAAACCAATCCAATCCAAACCAATCCAAACCAATCCAAACCACTTGTCCATGGGTCACAATCCCGTACCCCCAGTGAACATCCCAATCCTCACAATAGAGTACCCCAAGATGGCATCCCATTGGTTTTGACCACCACAGCCACCCACCTCAGTCAGGAGAACCTCTACCAGAGGCCATTGAGACTCGGCTCTTCCATCCGAGCGGCAAAATCCCCGATGCCCAAGGGCGTCTCCAGCTCTCCCTGTGGCGGTGGCCCCCAGCCGTCGATGTAGCTGCTGACCTCGAGGCTGCGACCGGGGCTGTCTGTGTCACCTCCATTTGGAGGCCTCCAAAACCTCTATGTGCATCTGTCATATTTGGGTATGGGTCAAAATTACAGCACCAAAAAACGGCGGATTTTAGTCCATGGTTCCATTTACCAGGGTTCCATTTTGGGTACCTATTTTTGACTCACAGCCATATCTATCCCTGTTCGAATATCTTGGGGAAGAGGGGCAACCAGTCTGCATCCCTCAAAGTTGAGAACTGCAATGCACCGCCTGACCGCCACCTCTCCTTTCCCCCGGAAAAAAAAGGGGCAACGATGCGCTGGGGCCCTGGCCGGTGGCAAAACAAAATCCATTTCGGCGCTGGACCTCGGCCCGGCGCTCCGGGAGCATTCTTCTTTGGCCAAGCCAACAAGAACCAGAAAATCGGCCATGGGCCAAAATCCAAATCGTACCCCCGGTGAACATCCCAATCCACCTACCCCAAGATGGGATCCCATTAGTTTTGACCCACAGCCTGGAGAAATGGGCCTCAGGCTTGTTTCTGGAACAAATTGGCGAGGGAAGTAACACATCCATGGCCCTCGCTGCGGGTGACTCAGGCAAGCTACTCTCTGCCAAGGGGCGGGAAGGGTCGGCTGGCCAGGTCGGGTTGACACGGAGGAACGATACCGACCGTTTCCTAATGTCGGCCTTTGAGCCACAAATGAGCATGAATGTGCGGATATAAATCTACGATCATAGGTCTCCATTGATTGCAAATGCGCGTCCATATCTCTTGATATGTCAATCTGTACATATATACATATACAGACATATACATATGTGTGTGTGTGTAACATGTATCATACAATGTGTTCCTTGCACACGCCCTACCGGGCAGTTCGGCATCTCTCTGCCCTAGCCTGATGCCCACGGAGCCGCAAGGACACCAAGCCTCGCTTCGGTTGCAATGCTTCGCCCGAGGCGAAGTTCGCAGCTTTTGGGCCGTTTGGTTCTTTGCAAAATGACGAGCCACGAGCCTTCCTGGTTGGAAGCGAACCCAAGAGACCCTTTGGTGGACATAGGTTGTTCTGTCCATGGGAGGGCTTCCTATCAAACTTCACAACCAGATCTGGCGTCTCATACTCCCACGGTTTCACCCTTGGCGGCCTTTGTTTCTTGAGGGGGGGGGCCTCAAGAATGTGACATGGTCGGGTCCTTCTGTGTGTGTGTGTCACATGGTCCATCAGTTCTTCTGGTCATGGCCATGGTTCCCCTGACCCTTACATTGGTTGTCTAAATTCCCTAAGGGGCTCATGACCACAACCCCCAAAACCCATGGCATGCCCCCCTCCCTCACGCGTCACGCAGACAGCCGGCCTTGGTTCAGCACCTGGGCCTGGGCATCCTGTAGCGCCTGAAACCAAATCTGTACAAAACATCACAAGCAAAAAAAAAACTAACGGAGGGGGGGAGGGGAGGGTGAGGGGAGGGGGGAGGGGAGGGGGGAGGGGGGGAGGGGAGGGGAGGGGAGAGAAAACCCAAAATTCGAAGCACCCTTACAAACCTCAGGACATCCGGATTTCTCCAAGAAGGCTCGCCATGTGCCTTGGCCAGGTCCGCCGCCCCAGCATCACCCGCGCCCTGACCAGTTGCACCGTCTTTGCCGAGTGGCCAAGGGTTTGGCCGTTTGGCTTGGCAAAGCTACAAAGGGCAAATGTCTGGACAGAGAATGCGATGTCTGGTCGGCAAAACCCCTGCGAGGCTCGGAGGCCTGGCCAGGACCAGTCTGAAAGAGCGAGACGATACGCTCCCCTCGCCGCACCTGCACAAGGACAAACCGAAGCTGCGGACAGGCAGCAAGCCTTGCCTAAGCCAAACCCTCCGCTCTCACATGTGGTCAACATGACTTGCTTCCCGTAAAGGCCATGGGAAAATTAGGGAGTGACCTTAGTGGAAGCCTTGGCATCCAACCAATTGTCAATCAAGCAATCGGCGAGGCAGCCGAACCGCCGAACCCGCAGCGCCCGGCTTCCCAGCGGCATTCTACGTCATGAAAATGAAGATGCCTAGGTTTGTCTGAGTGTGTCTCCAAATAATGAACCCAACCCCCCCTCCTCAACATAGGATATCATGTTCCTATTTGCCTTTCAAGCAACCCCGAAGGCCCGAAGGGGTTGGTTTCCCCTGCAACCAACGCCGCTTGGACCTTCGCTTGGCTCCTTCCCTCAGCTTCGGCCCGCGGTCTCGCTCTCTTGCGGCGCCTTGGTCAAGGCGCGCTCCAGGTCCGCCGCGGCGGAGCCCCAAACGTCAGCCTCCTAGCGCGGGAAAACCTGTTTGGGCGGATGAAACTCCGAGTCACGGACCCCTTTTGCCTAAAGAAGGGACCCAAGGACCCAAGGACCCAAGGACCCAAGGATGGTGCCGCGGCGATAACTTTGGAACTTTATCACAAAAAAGTCCTTGGTGGCAACGTGTTGTGGCATCACCGGCAAGACCATGGGCTTGGAAATGCGATTCGAAGCTACGTCTCGCAGTCTTGGATCAGCTCTTTTTTGGGGTGCGTGGTCTTGTGCGACATCTTTGCCCAATTGAATTAGAAAGCCAAAGCGCGTGACACGCTTGGCCTATGCATACGGTGCTCAGAGCACAGAACAGGGCATCCACGACCATTCTTAGGCACATGGGGCACAGGGGAAAATGCGATCCCCGAGTCGCAACGATCGCGTCTCAGACTGTCTGCTCATCGAAACGTCCTGCACAACAAGACAGGACAAGCAGCGGGCATGCCTCATCCAAGCTGTGAGATATGTGAAATGGATTCCTCCAGAATTCTGCACCTGGTTGAATTATTTTACATCCTGCGTTCTTGCAGGTTAAAGAAATTGCTGTCTAGAGTTGTGGCAGGTTGCGAGTTGCAATTGTAACTGTGGATTCCCCAGTCATCGCAGGCCATCCATCCATGAGCTACATGGCAAATGCCAGTCAATCTGCCTTCCCTGCAGGACATGGCTGTGGATCAAAAATAGGTACCCAGAATGGAACCCATTCTAAGCGGAAAAGTAGACTCTCAACACCTGCGGTCCATATCCGGGTGGTTTAATTTTGACCCCCTATTAATCAACCCCAGTTTATTAATAGGGGGGTGTTCCCCTCCAAAAGTGAACAATCCCCACTAAAACCAGGGACACCGACATATCAATAAACAGGGGTTTATTAATAGGGGGTGTTCATTAGTTTTGACCCATACGCACATGGGGATTGCGCTGAGGTGGAAGCAACGGCCTGGATAGCCCAGCTGGTGCGCGTCTGGAGCTGACTTCTCCTCCAACCGCTTCCGGTTGATGCCGGCCTGCGAGTCGACTGGAGGGGAAGCTGAGTGGAGCTGTTTGGAGCCGAAGGGTGCTGTGCGTGTACATGTGTACACATCATGTGCATAATATGCATGTACGTATATATCGACATGTATATGCACATGTGGCTACATATATGTATATATGCACACAAAATAATATATATATATATATATATATATATATGCTCACCCCCCCCTGCATGACCTACCTTTTTAGCTAAAAAAAGCAGGATCTCATCTATCATTTGCCCCTCCCTTCATCGCTATTGGTGGGGCACAGCACTTGGTTTTCATTGCACACGCGAGCAAGACACAAAACTAAATATCTTCAATGCTTATTGATTGAAGCAATGGAAAACCTGTTCCATTATGTTATTCACCGCCACTCATAACATAATGATGTTCCATTTAATATTAATGACAAGTTAATTTTTAAATATAATTTCCTATATTTCTTTAATATCAACTATGACAGATGTCCCAATAATAAAACCAATAAACATAACTGAATATGAATTCAAACAATCCAAATATGAGCACGTGCTAAAATTACCATTTAGAAGTATTATAGTTGCTTCATCGACGGGAGGCAAAACAGTTTTAGTCCAAAACCTTATCTTGAATGTTTATAGAAATTCATTTGCAAGAATATTTATATTTTCCCCCAGCGTTCATAATGACCCAACTTTTACAGAAGTTAAAAAATACATCAGGGATGAATTGCACGTGGATGATGAAAAAGAACAAATTTATTTTGATAATTATAATCCAAGTGATTTAGAAAATGTAATTGAAAGACAGAAGAAAATAATTAATTATATGAAGTCTAAAAAGATAAAGAAACTACATTCAATATTAATCGTTATAGATGACCACGCATTCAATATTAATCGTTGTAGATGACCACGCAGACGATCCTAAATTTGTTAGATATAGTAAATTATTACACGGACTTGTTACAAGAGGCAGGCACGATGCAGTAAGTGTAATTTGTTCAACACACAAATATAATGTTTTAGTGCCTATCATTCGTTTAAATGCCAGTTCATTATATATTTTTAGGTTGAAAAATGCAAGTGAGTTAATGAGTTTTATTGAAGAAAATAGCGCCATTGTTGATAAACAGCAATTATTAGATATGTATCATCAAGCAGTTAATGACGCACCTTATAGTTTCTTCTACGTGAATATGAATGCTACAGACATTAATAAAATGTTTCATATCAGATTTGAACAGGCATTTCAAATTATGATGAATAAATATATTCTCATTTAATATAATATAGTAATATGCCAATGAAACTATGTAGATGTGGTGGATTTTATCGTAGAGGTAATTGTAATTTTCATACTAATTCTTGGATACATAAACTTTATAAAGTATTGAAAAGAAGGGCAACAGACGGAATTATTAAGATTTCAAAATAATTTTGTTGATGAAGAAGATTTAATAGATGATATAAGTAGTACTACTTCAACAACAATACCAGAGGATAAAATGACAGATTATGATAGCAATTAATCATATTATTATATGTTAATATTATTAATTTAAATTAACGAAGCATTGCAAAATTGTAAAGCAGGAAGTTTATATATTAATTTGTCAGATTTTTCTTTCTCTAGTTTCTCAATTCGTGTCACACATTCTTGAAGAGATTTAATAATTAAAGTGTCTGCTCGTGTTTTTTCATCTATACTTAAATTCTTAATGTCTTCCAAACTATTATTTTCATTATTTTTACTTTTACCAATACCCATTATATATGATATTATTAAGATTTTAATTTTTCAAATTATCTTTTTGTGGTTCTTCTTCTTCGTCTTCAGTTGGTGCTGGTATTTCTGTTGTTTTAGATGTCTGGCCCACGACAAAATCTTGGATTCTTGGTTTTCTCGAGGTTTTCTTGGTTTTCCTTGTTTTACTTGGGAATTCTTGGTTTTTTGCTGGAAAAAAAAAACCCTAGTAAATCTTGGTTTTTTGCTGGAAATCCAAAAAACCCTAGTAATTCTTGCCAAGTAAAATCAAGAAAACCAAGAAAACCTCGAGAAAACCAAGAATCCAAGAATCCAAGATTTTCATGTAGATGTCTGGCCCACGACAAAATCTTGGATTCTTGGTTTTCTCGAGGTTTTCTTGGTTTTCCTTGTTTTACTTGGGAATTCTTGGTTTTTGGCTGGAAATCCAAAAAAACCCTAGTAAATCTTGTTTTTTTGCTGGAAATCCAAAAAAACCCTAGTAATTCTTGTTTTTTTGCTGGAAATCCAAACAAACCCTAGTAAATCTTGGTTTTTTGCTGGAAATCCAAAAAAACACCCTAGTATTTCTTGGTTTTTTGCTGGAAATCCAAGAATTTCCAAGTAAAACCAGGAAAACCAAGAACACCTCGAGAAAACCAAGAATCCAAGATTTTGTAGTGGACCAAACATCTACCTGAAAATCTTGGATTCTTGGATTCTTGGATTCTTGGCTTTCTCGAGGTTTTCTTGGTTTTATGTGAAAAATGCTAAAAACCCAAGGAATTCTGAAGGTTTTACTGCAAAACCATCAAAAACCCAGGGAATTCTTAGTTTTTGACTTAGGGATCTATCTGAAAAACATATCAGTTTTTACACTTGTTTTTTTGAATGCTTTCCTGTTTTTTTCTAAAAAAAAACATGGGTTTTTGCACATGTTTTGCTAAAACCATCAAAAAACACTGGTTTTCTTATTTTTTCAATGGTTGACTGTGTTGTTTTTTAATCGAACACCATAAAAACAGGTGTTGTTTTTCACTTTTTTATTGTCTGCTAATGGTCCCCAACGACTTTTTGAAAGACAACGGTAGGTCATGCAGGGGGGGGGTGACCATATATATATATATATATATATATATATTTGTTCTATGATCCTGTGTTCGTTCAATATGGTCCGAGCACCTCAACATGGCACGAGCACCACGATGGATAGTCAAAGCTCTGTTGTCAGCCGCTGTCTTCGTTGTCAGCCGCTGTCTTCGAGCCTCTTGTCCGTGAATCATCTGAGGTCAAGGCGAACAAAGCGGGCGTCACCCAAACGGAGTCCCAAGCCGGGGGCTCACATCCCCCCCCCCCGCCTGCTGCAGGCGTGCTCGAGTACGCTCCAGCTCCTGGCCGCGGGCATGGGAACTGGTGGCTTTTGCGGCTTCGTTCTCCGATGCCAGCCGCTTCAAGGCACGCGATTCAATTGCATTCTCTTGACACGTGGCAATTCAAGAACGAGCACGCTTCGAGGCAATCTGCAAGTACCGGTATGCGCCAGTTTTTGATCTCATTTTCGGAGCGCCATTTTGGAGGGTGTTCCGCTTTGGTGCGCAATGCCGGAGTCTTTGAGTCAGTAGCCCGCCCACCAAGCGGCGAAAGGAGCGTCTCTGGATTTATTTAAGCAATAGTAATACTTGGTGATGTCGGCACTCGTTCCCTTCTGTTCGACGTTGGCTAGCTGGGGATACGATAGCCGCTCGGCTGCGTTGGCCGCTTTTGGGGATGGAGCAGCCACCGTTGCTCCTTTTCTGCATCACGTGAAAAGGCCTTTGTTTTCTGGCAGTGGGGTTGCTAGTGAAACGACGCACGACCAAGAGCTTCTGTTGTTGTTGCGGTGGGGTCACTAGTGAAACCACCCATCCAAAATGGTAGCACACTTGATCAAGGGCGTTTGTTTTCGTTGCGTGGCTAATAGGGAGTCTAGCAACTTGAAAGAACAAGGACCATTGCTGTGATTGCTGATCGTCTGATTGTAGATTGTGATCATCATTCCCATCTGAAAGCAGCGGCGGCACGCACGCAAAATCATCTCGAAGACGTGCTCGACCCTTTCACAGAAGATGTTTTTGAAGCAGACCACATTCCGTTCTCAGACCCAGCTGAGTTTGCTTCGGACCGTGGTCTGGCTGGGACGCTGAGAGGACCAAGCCTGAGGCTCGCTCATTTTCGGCCAGCTCTGGCTGCCGCAGGCAGGCTCTTTGCGGCGACCCCGTTTCGCTTTTTTCGGCGCCGGGGCAAGCGACCAGACTCTGCCCTTGTGAGGTGCCCCAAAAGCCCAAAAGCGACAGCTCTGCGAAACGATCCCTCGGTCTGGGGGAGGGTTCTAGACGAGACTCCGGGGGTTTTCCGGAAGGTTCCCCGGCAAAAAACTGGGGAAGAGTCTTGGCCGATCCTCCCAGAAGATCTGCTGCAGTGCGTCGCCTCCCTTGTCGGCTGATACACTCCCCTGGTTTGGCGTGGCCGGTGCTTGTCTCACCTCGGAAAAAACGGAAAACAGGTCTGTTCAGCTGCTGCCCTCTTTTTTTTTGCGCGCTGCTGTCGCCCTCTCCCTTCTCTGGCGTTCCGAGGGCACCAAACTTTAGAACAAAACGGGGTAGCTTGACTTCCTTGCACCCGAGCTCCATCCACCAAGCTGAAATGGTACTGCTTTGAGGTCATCAGTCAAACAAACTCAAGGCTGGCACTGGCGTCCGCTCCGCAAAAGCCTAGCTGCACTATGTGTTCGTGAACCTACGCAGCGCAAACATCCAGGGGTATGAACTTTAGTTGGGGACCCTTTGTTGGACGCCATGGTGGGGATGTATGTCCACCAACCACCTTTGAAGGGGTTCCCCCACCGAAACATCACAGCCATCAGTCTCAGAAAGACCGTGCGGGCCAGCGCCGAGCCGCCGGGGTCTTCTCCCTGGACTTGGCGCGCTTGATGGAGATCTGCCCCGGCTGAGGCTTTGCAGCCTGGGGTCGCGGCTCAAATTCTCATCCACACGTGCCTATGACTCGCCTCCAAACTCCAGGCCGGCTTCCTCTCGCGTTTGCTCACTCTTGCCGTGAGCTCGTTAAATGTGCCCCGTTTGGCGACATGCCCTTAAATGGAGTACTTAGCTAGTGTTCGTTTCTCGAAAGCCAAGATCAAATCTCAGCCAAAGTGGCAGCTCCCATCCCTCGGAAGGGCGCCAGGCATTGCTTCAGGCCCTCCTTGAGCGAGGTGTGAGGGCTATGGCGCCCCAGCAGACGGATCAGCCGCGCGCAGTCCAACCTGCGAGAACTTGTTGGGCTTAGGGTACGCAGGCGTTTCTTTTCAGATGCAACAAAAAGAGGGGGCCCTTCTTTTCCCTAAAAATCCACTGGGCTCTTCTGAGCGGCGAGCGGGATCTATTTTGACATTTTTCTCGACATAGGCTTCACTGTGCAAGCTTGGGCAACCCTCCACAACCCGGCGATTTGGAGTAAGGGAAGGTTCCCCATACCCCAACTTGCGGTCTCAAAAGAACCTGTTTTCAGGGCCTTCCATCTGTCAGAGTCAGGTCTCCAGCACAACGTCTAAGCCAGGGGCCGGGTATCCCGTGGCAGCGGCGTGGATGGCGGAGAGCGCACCGCTGTGATGCCTGAGGCATCCAGTCCGGCCACTTCCGCCACCAGCAGCATCATCTCCTTGGCACATCTGAAAACCCAAGAGCAAGCAAGAAAGCAACGCCACGGGAATCCATTCCATGACAGACTGGCAGCTGCTTGAATTGCTTTGTGCTGACTCGACCAGCGCGGTTTGAAGGATTCAGGTTTGTGAAGTAAGGGCGCAACGTACCAGGTGTACTGCTCATTGCCTGTCGAACCCGCCATGTCCACGCGCCGAAAAACATGTGCCAAACAGTGTCAAGGGATCCCAGTTTCCCTACCCACTGATAAAATCGTGGCTCAAATAAGTCATCGGCCATCCCAAATCCACAGCCAAAATTCAGAAAACCAATCAATCAAACAGCAACTTAGCCTGAAACCAATCAGACATGTCAGGGATATGAATCACTATCTTAAAGTGAAACAAAGCACTGCTCAAGGCCGGCCTTGCCAATGGAAGATGCCTTGCAGCCGCTCCCCTGCCAAATGTTGCTCTATCATCACCCTCAGCACGTTGGCCACGTCGCCCGCCCAGGTGGGGTAGCATCGCTGCCAGGCATCTACCTCGCCTCAAGAGCGCGCCAACCCCGGAAAACACGAGGGGCCCTAGTGGCACAATGGATGGATAGGTGCAACGGTAAAATGTGTAAAATAAGTATATTTTCCTTACACAATGTCAAAATAGATGTAAAATATGTCAAACTCATGTTCCTGGCGAGTCTGCATTGCTCGCTATGCTTCCACATGGCCATGCGGCCAATGAAATCAAACTCGCCGAGTCACTGATGCCGCTTTGAAGGTCTGTGTAGAGACTCGTCACAGCCTCATTCGCTTGCCCGTGCAACCCAAAGACCACATAAGACATCATCACCGAGTACCGACATGCAACATATGGCATGTGTCAAAATAGGGGGACCCCAAAATGATATGTGTTGTTGTTGTTTTCTCGAGTCAAGACCATCCGCAAACCCCATCTGTTACAGAAATAGTCGGTACAACTACACCTTGGTCACGCATAGAGCCAGGGCTACCCGATGCTAGTCAACTAAAAATGATCAACCATGGCTTGTGACTCCAGCGTTGCAAGCGTCTCTTCCCCAACTTGACTCCCAGATATGGGGGCACAGCAGACCAGAACCACCTCACCCCAGCTGCCCAACTTTCGGTTTGACTCCAATTCTTGAGCCCTGCCCCTCTGATTGGCTTCCATTTGGTTCCTCTTCACCAAACAGCTACCCCCATAAGTCCCGCTGTCCGTCATGGAAGCGGATGAGCCCTTTCTCCCCCACGCCCCCACCTCCCCCCCACCTCCCCCCCACCTCCCCCCCCATCCCCGGCCCTTGCCACCTGAGCCCCCGGCAGAATCCGTGAGGGACTCCACGGGCCCATAGAGCAGCGGCACCCGCAGCACCGCCGCCTTGCAGCAGGCCGCCTGCACCAGCTGCTCGCTGTGGAGCTTGTGCCACCCTGGGAATTTTCAGGCGTCGCCGACCGAAGAAAAAAACAAGTCCGCCCACCAATTCTCACCTGGCCACCTGACAGGAGCTCGCTCCTTCTTGCAGGTGACTATGCTAGTTGCGGGGAGTGTGTGTTTTATTTTGAGAAGAACAAAGTGTTATTTTGAGAAGAACAATGAGTGTTGGTGGTTTTGCTTTTTGGACCGTGTTGTGTGGTTTGTGTAACCTAGGGAAAACAAAAGACACATGGAGGACCCAAGCGTTCGTTTGATGCCATGGTGGGAAATGTCTGGGCAAACCACCACTGGTAGACAACCAAATGGACCAAGTCTTGCGTGTCTGCATCGGTGCGCGAAACAGCAGCTTGGAACCTTCTTTCGGGCCTGCCGGCCAAACTTATGGGCACATTGGACCGGACGCCAAGCCCTTTAGGCCTTCAAAAACCGGCCTTTCAGAGGATCCAAACCATCGACACAAAGGCAAACGAGAGTCATCCTTCGGATCAAGACCCCTGGCACGGGGACCCATTGGGCAACAACCTCGAATTGATGAATCTGGAGACTTCCTAATTGCTAGTAGGGTTCGACACTGCCGGTTCTTGTAGTCCAGCTCATGAGGTGCTGCACTCTTGGCATTCTCTATTTCATTGTTCATACTGTACACTTCACTAGGTCAAGTGTGGGAGTGTGGAACCATCTGCATAATGGAGATCAATAGAAGGAACTGCATGTTGGCCAGAATTCATCGCACTTGAGAAAGGAGCCCGATTCACCCATTCCGTGAAAACCAACAATGACAGCTGATGAATCATGCCTGGCCCAAAGTCCCTTACACAGTCTTCAACATAGTTCAGGGTTGCTGGCTTGAGTTGAACCGGCCTATGGTACTACTATGCTCATGTTGACCGAAAGCATCACTCCACGCCGGCAGTAAAGCTTCCTACGGCCCAAAGCCTGTTGCGAGCTGACTGACTCCAAGCCGCCATACTCGCTGAGCGGGTTGGGCTTGGAGTTCGCGCAGTACGGAGGAGCAGTGCCGTCGAAGACGCAGTCCGCGCTGAGGTGTATCTGAGTCCGCTCTCACAAACTGCATCGAGCACTTGAAAAGCCAAGCTCGCGCAAAATGAGGTGGTTTTGCCCTGACCATTCTACGACAAATGACCACTGTGCGACATGCTGCAACCGTGGCAGGCAACGAGGCGTCCCCAGTGATCGTGTGACTGATCATGGTGCATGGTAGCACCGCTTGGGGATGACAGCATAGTTCCCAGTGGCTATCCGAGATTCTCCCCAGCCAAGGCACCAGCCAGGCCCCTAACTTCTCACAAGCTGCCGCCACAGAACCTGCGGGAGAACTCTGACGCAGGTTTGCCAACGTGGCCACTGGCGACGGTTTCTTGAGTGAAATGAGCTTTGATCACTTCTGAACAAAAAAAAACACGCGGCAACCCGAATTTCCCCACCCAGCCTGCCGCATCCACGTTCAGCTGCCGGGCCTGGTTGGGGCACTGTAGCACCTGCCGCCACTCCGCCAGATGGACCACCACCTGCCAGGAGAAGACCCTCGGAAAAACCGAAGCCAGCTCAAGAACAACCTTGGTGCCAAAGCCGAACGACCCGGAAAAGGCCGAGCGTAAGTCCGTGCCTGAGGTCGGAACTGCTCCATGAGCCGCGTCAGCGGCTCCTCCTGGCGCCAAAGTGACATCCTCTAAATTCAATATGAAGTGGCAGCACTGCAAGCCGTCCCCTCAAAAAGGGGAGCCCAGATCGTAATCTCCTCAAAAGCGGAGCCGAAATGAAAAAAGGGGAGCCGATGGCTGCAACGGGAACCACCCCTGTCGTCCTTTCAAACGCGACCACTTCGCGACGCATGTCCTGCAGCAGGTCACAGCACAGCACCCGCGGTGGTCGCCCACGGCGCCGGCACAGGCCCCTCACCTGGCGGTCTGACGGCTTCCGGCCTTTGGTCCGAGAAGATTTGGGTATGGGTCAAAATTAAACCACCGGGGACCACAGGGGTACCTGTTTTGGACCCCGGGATCCTGTTATTTGTTGGTGTCCATGTACCAGGGTGCCATTCAGGGTACCTGCTTTCGACCCACGCCCTCATGTCTTCCATTCTCCCTTTTTCTGCGCTGTCGAGCCGTGGCCCTTGCGCCCAGCGCCCTTTCTGGCCGCAGGCCCCGCCTCCCACGTCGTGGTGGCAAAGACCTGCATCACTTGGCGGCCCAGCAAGCCGGAGGCCCCGGTGACCAGCACGCGGGCGCCCGGCCTGCGACGCGGCCCCTCACTTCAAGCGGCTTCATCGCACAGGGAAAGGAAACGCCTCCCAAAGCAAGCGCCAAACATCGCATTGAGCTCAAATGACCCCCAAATTGCCACAAAAGGCCTTGAGACCTGCAATCTGGAAGGGGTCTCTAAGCGTCTCTCATGTCTCTCCCCACTCGAGAGTCCTCGCCTGGAAGCCTCCGCCAGGCTGCCGCGAGAGGAAAGCAGGGAGCCTCCATCCAGCGAGCCAGCGGCGAGTGAAGTGGAGTGCTGGTACGTGCGTTCGAATGGGGAAATTCGGGGAGTACATGAAGCATGGAACCAAAGTGCTGGCTGCAGTACCAGTGCAATAGCTAGTGCTCTGGTACATGTGAATGGTTGCAGCTTCCCAGAAATGAACGATTGCAGCTTCGGATCATTGGAAGAGCCTATGAGCAAGGAGGGTCCGTGAACCAAGCATCGCAAGCTGCTCCGAGTCCCGCAAACAACCCCGCTCATCATTGTCAGTCACAAATTTGGAGGCATCTCGAGGTCCTGTTGGCCCAACCGAATTCGCCCCTCCTCGAGGTTGGGGATTTGGGGGATCTGGCCTCCAGAGAGGGGAGTGCCAGCCACAGTCTCGGCAGCCTCTGGCTGAGGCCTCGGTTCGCGCTCCCTTCAGTTGATCTTGGCCTCAACCGCCTTCAAAATCAGCAACTAAACTGCTGGACATGGCCTAATGCCCAGCAGGTTGCGGTAAGGCACACTCTGAGGATAAATAATAGGATTTATATGATATATCATAGACAATTCTCACACGCATAGGGTCAAGGGGCGGTGCATCTGTCGTGGTCGCCTGCTCACCTTGGCTCTGAGGAGCAAAGCAGGGAATGCTTCCAATGCCGGGGCCAAATACAGCCGCTACCAGACCCCAACCCCACAGTGCAGCCGCAGTGGCTGGAAGCCTGATTCGCTTCCTGCCTTGGAAGGCGTAGTGCTAGCTCAACACCAAAAAAAAGCAGCATCCCCTGTGTCTCATGAGTCTCCTGGTTGCGAGCAAAAAAGATCTTCCACAACGAAACCCGTGACCTTGAGCAGGCTGCTTGCCATTGCCAAGCTGCCAGGCGTGCGCCTTGAGCTCCTCCTGCTTCCCAATATGTGGGTAAGGTCTCTCCAGCCTCTCGGTGAAGCTCTGACATCTCTGACCCTGAGGCTGGCTCTGGGCTTGAACGCGCAGACTCCTCTCCAGCTCTTTCAGCTCGTACAGCTTCTGGAGATGTTGCTGCTGCATCATCTGCGCCTCGAAGTTTGGCGGCTTGATCTTGGTCCCGCTCGGCAAAGACATGGAGCTGCACGAGGGCGCAGGTGAGACATCCCTGCCCTCAGTTCTTGCGGTAGGAGCAGGCGTTGGCACGGACAAGGCGCCGCTTGCGACGCCCCAGGGCGTCGCAAAACCTTTGCCGCTCGAGCGTTGCGCCCATCGCGGGTCCTGGAAGAAGTTGGGCACATCCGAGAGGGCCGGGCTTCCTACAGCACCTCTCATGCTCGCCATGCCTGCCATGGATGGCATTCCTGGCATGCTCGGCATGCCTGGCATGCCTGGCATGGATGGCATGGATGGCATTCCTGGCATGCTTGGTACACCAGGCATTCCTGGCATGCTGGGCATGCTGGGCACGCTGGGCACGCCTGACATTCCTGGCGCGCTGGGCGCGCTGGGCACGCCTGACATTCCCGTCATGCTTGGCACGCCAGGCTGAAACTGACTGTGGTGCCCATGAGAATGCCCATGTGCATGCCCATGTGCATGCCCATGTGGATGCCCATGTGCATCCCGAGAGCGCGCTCGAAGCATGTCAGGGAGAGGAGGTGTTTGCAACTGCCCGAGCTTGAGAAGCGGTGGTGCCTGCAACACGAAGCCCGGGTAAAAGGCCGCACCAGGAGGGCCTAGAGCCTCGCCTCCATGTCGCTGCCTGTCTAGCACCCTGGAGACACGAAGAGGTCGCCCAAGGGAGCCCGCGCGCTTCCGCGCTGTTAGGACCTTCTCTCCGTCTTCCTCCTCATCGCTGCCACCACTCTTGGTGTAGCGATACCGAGGTGGCGTGCCGGGGCCGGGCATGGCAAATAAGCCATGAGCTCTGCTTAGCCGTTCACATACTGCAATGCTCATTTGCCTACATGATGTAGCCTCGGAGTCTCTGAGTCGCTATGTTCATGAGCCCCACTTATGCTCAGCGTGTTGATGAATGTGAGCCATGCAAGCGGCTCTTGTCCATGTTCTGAGCTTATAAGGCTCTTACAGCTGCGCAAGGCCACGTGCCAATGAACTTTCACCAAAGCCATCATTCCCAATGTGCTGTTTGAACATCACACCAGCCAACAGAAACTCATTGCAGGTCGACCCAATTGGCAATGCTCAATTTCGTCAAACGGAAGTCAGCGATGGCCATGCACAGACTGACCTCCTCCTTCTTGCGACGCCTTGGAGCCATGTGACACCTCAGATTACACGAAGGGCATGTTTGGACAAATGCAACTGCTGGTTCCATGCAAAATGCCTGGCAACCTGGTGATGCTCTAAGATGAGGGCTGAAGGTGAAATAAGCACCGCCAGCGCTGACGTTGCTTGAAGTGACTATTTGTATGCAGTTTGGCTGCTTCTCCCTGCCATTTTCCAACTTGATGGATGTTACTCTTCGAGTACCTGCATGTTGAGCGTGCTTTTTCTGTTCTTGCGGTTTCCACCATCTGTTTGGCTGTGATTAGAGGCTTGGGTATGGATTTCAGGTCTGCCCATGTTCATAGGACGTCGCCCACTGGAGCCATCGGCTCAGCGTCTCAACTTCAAAACTGCACTGAATCTGATGTTGCCGGGGTGGTCAAATTAACCTGACTTCCCCAGCACGCGCACACCTGGCAACGTTATCACAAAGCCCCGAAGCCCCATAGTGATGAATAGCGCCCACGGCCTCATCTGGGGGTGTCTTGGACTCTCTTCAACCGTTTGGACCCTTGAACGCCAGGCCCCTTGCGGCGCGTGGCCCAAAGCATGTCGGCTGTAGCATCTCGGCCTGGGAAATGCAAGCCCACTTCACTCCCGTGAAAATGCATGGCATGCGGCTGAGTATTTCTATCACACGAAAGACTAACAGATATACCAGATATTCACTAGCAGCCCCTGCCAAAATGACGAGAACAATGTTAAAGATGTTGTTTCTGACGCGGAAACAGCCGGAGCAGAAAAACCGTTGCCTGTCGATGTTAACTTGCTACCATCCTCTTTGGATGTAAGTTTCACAGGTGGGAATACAGTTATTCGCAACACAAACGTGACTGACAAGCAGTTCTCTGAATAGGAATGTTACCCCTCACAAGGGTGGTCCCCTGATTGAGACGGCTGCAGGCTGACTGTGGCCGGAGCACCATCCCCTCGCAGCTCAAGCAACGCAAAGCTGCCTCGTTTCTTCCCGAGCCTGGTCACCAGCCTGAGGCTTAGCCTGCAGCTTGTGAAAACTTGAATTTGAAAATCCGCCTTGAGAAAAAAAGGCCCCGCAGGTCTTCGGTTCAAACGCGCAAATTCGCTTATTGGTGCTGGGCAGTGATCGCCTCCACCGCATCCGACAGATCTGAGATGGTGGTGGTCACGCGACCTCGAACCACGTGGTCGCGTGACACCGCCGTCACGTTGCGCCGGGGAGAGAGTTGCGCCAGAGTGTCCCGGAACTCCTCCTCCTGCGAAATTTTGCTCCCAACGCCCGACTTTCGAAACTGGGTGGGGTGTGCAACACACGCACCTTAGGATTTGGTGCGCGGGGCGTCTTTGAATTTGCTGCGGTCTGGGCCGTGGAACTGCTCAACTCAAAAAAAAGAACCACCACCTTGGAGGTCCCCCCCCAATTTGACACATACAAATGGGTGGTCCCCGTCTTTTTTTGAGGTCCCCGCAATTGACACCTAGTAGCGCCTCCCACAAGCAAAGAAATTCAACCTGACACTCATGGCCTTGAAACATCCTCACTGCTTCACATCTGGCCATGGGCCAAAATCCAAATCGTACCCCCCATGAACATCAACCAATCCAACCACTAAAATAGGAAGCCTAAAATGGGTGCACCTTCACCTACCCACCAAAATGTGGGATCCCAAAACGGTTTTGACCACAGCCAAGTCTGGGAGTGAACATTGTGGACCCATCTGCATAATGGAGATCAATCGAAGGGACATGGCCAGAATGCATCGCACTTGAGAAAGCCCCCGAACCTGTGCTCAGACCGAAAAGCTCTCCTGCTTGCGCCTGGACATCTTCAGCTGCAGCTCCATGGAGTCCATGGAGGGCAACTTCACCAGGCTCTCGGGCTTGAACTGAAGCAAGCCACGGCTCGGAGACGAAACCGTGGAACCCCCGGACTTTTTGTATTTGGCCGGGGGGCCAAAAATCGTTGGTAATGTTCTGGGCACCTGATTTTCATTTGGCGGGTGCCACTGACCCCCAACGTGGAAAAAATGGGCCCCTGAAATTTGAGCCAACAATCGAAACCCGGGGTCTTTTTATCTGGTTGACCCAGCGTGTGAAGAATCAAGAAGGCGGCCACAGCTGTTTCTTGCTGGGAGTGTCCCTAACCTTCATCTACCCGGGCTTTGATTGTGCTCATTTGGCTCTGGGTAACCCCAGAATGGGTTACCTTGTGGAAACATGGAACACCTGCGGTCCATATTCTGGTGTAATTTTGACCCATACCCATTTACCCTCCCCTTTTCACATGGAAGAAAGGAACCCGGTCCCTTGAAAAGGAAAATGGTCTTGTAGGACCCCCTGAGCGTCAGGATCCATGTTAATTGGTGGGAGGGCAAGTGGAATCCTCTGCAGGGGTGGGGCATTTGCAGGGCAAACCACGGTGAGATCAGAAGGTTTCCTCGCTCATTGTCCAGAGAAATTGTGTCCCAAGCCCGAATGGTCATTTACCCTATCAAGCATCAGGCAAAGGGTTTATGCATTTCTGCCGCAATTCGGTCCGGCATCTCTTTCTCTTTGACCAGCTTGTGATATGGGTGTGAATGATCATTGGGGACCTTTTTGGTGGGCATCATTTAGGCGGGGAGTTATGTCCACCAACCACCTGAGGTTCCCTATCAAAATCCAGAGCCTTATCCGACGGTTTCTTTCTCGCATGTGCCTCGGTGCCTTCCGCACCCTTTATGATGCCAGGGAAAAGGAACTCGGCCGTGCTCTTGCCGTATCTCTGGGCCATCTCGTTGAGCACGTGCACGAAAATGAGGAACTCTTCGAAGTCAACACAATGATTGGCGTCCCTGATGTCCGGCGACCGGAAAGTCGAAGGCTTGCGTACGATGAAGCTGTCTTGACAAAGTTTACCTTCCCGGTACTGAACTACGCTTTGACTACCTTCTTTCTACTCTTGTAGCTTACAGGATCTTACAGGGATGGATCCAGAAAAGCATCCGAACCGCATGGAAAAGAGCTCTGCAAGTTTTCAGGCAGCCGGCTTGTCCACCCGGGCCCAGTAGAAGTTCATCCGCTCAGGTGTCACCTTGGGACGCTCCTTCGGCGGAATGAACCTCGCGAGGCAAGGAATTCAAGACTGTCCACCATCTGTCCTGGATATGTTGTGCAAGTGGGCAGCTCCAGCATCCAGCTTTGCCAGTCCTTCTTGGTCCAGCGACCTCACGTGGGGAGGATTTGTCGGGCCAAGTTCCAAAAAGTTGGTGTCTGATGTGTATGCGAAACAGTACTCTGGGTGCCCTGCCCGACGAAGTACGGTCAATTTCGTTGAACTGGTCATGCGCCTTCTTGATGAACTCCATGTCCAGCTTGTATGTCGTTGCCAATCTCAGCACTTGCGACAGCGGTCATACAGGCTTGCGCATAAAATGCATTCGGCCTTCGATCGGTTCGCTCATCAGCAGACATATTATTCATCATGTGCTTCTGTGCCTCAGTGCAAACAAAATGGCAGTGCAGCTTTAATCAAGCAGTGGGCGGCTGAAAGGCCACGCTGCGAAGAAGGAATCCTCCAGAAAGGTGATCTTGTTCCTCCTCATGTACTTCAGCCTCGTGTGGTCACCTGCAGGGCGTTGGCAAGGCCGACCACCCTTGACCGAGTCTCCCCGACACCGAAACAGCTGAAATCACAGTCAATGCAAATAGGAATGTCTGCAATGAATTGGCAATGTTGCTTTTGGAATCCAATCTTTTCTCATGGCTGGCAAAGTGCAATGTTGTTCATTGCGTATGTGCTCTGGCAGTCCAGGACAGACTCGGAAAATGCTTTAAAGGCATCTGCAGCGAGAAGAGTCTAATTCATCCCAAGGTTTACGGCAAGCAACAGCCCTAAGCACACATTGACAACTCTGAGGTCCCTTCCAATGCCTCGTGAAGCAACCCACAGCTTCAAGGGAGCTGCGATGGCAATGCAGGCCTGCGCGGCGTGCAACGCGCGCAACGCCCGCAACGCGCGAGCCGATGGAGAGCGAGCCGCGCGAGCCTGTGAGCCGTAGTTGTCGGCAACCACCAAGCGCCACCACGGGGCTGACTCCGCACCCTCTCGCACCTCCTACGGGTTGACAATGACTCGGGTTGGGTTTAAACATGCGCAAAGCATTGGGCATGACAAGCTGTGCCCCTTGCCAGCTTCGAGGATTGCACCAAAGTAAAGTTGACTGCCAGCTCGGATGGCCGTCAGGTCGCTCTTTCTCATGAGCTAGGCAAGCGATTTGGCCCCTTGGAGTGGTGTTAAATGACTCCGTTGCCTAGCCATTCTTCCCTCCTCCTTCGACTTGTTGAAGAAGGAGATACCTTTCTCTGCAATGTTCTCGGGCACCTCTGGACCGTCGCGGCCATGGGCTCATTCCAACGCGATGCCGAGCTGCAAGAAATGTCCAGGCAGTCTGCCACGGGCCCATCGCTGAGTGCACAGAGAACCTGATGCTCCGCGATTGCCGCTGATTTATGGTCTGATCTCAGCTTATTCAATCTATTCGGTGTGTGGATGCTGGGTCAGGCGGCATCATCTTGCATCGCTTCGGCGTCACCTCCTGACCAACACATCACCGGGGCAAGAAATGATTTACGGGATGCAAAGAAACTCTGGCCTTTGTCACAAACTCCATCTGCAATGCGATCACTGGAGCCTTGGTCCCAGGCAGGCAAGTGCACTCAAAGGCATGCATAACAGCTCGATGCATGAGTACGTCCTTAAGCATGAACCACTGCCTGTGTGAACCTTGAATGAAAACTCGATGCACTCAATAGTCACTCGGCCAGTGGCAGGAATGTCATCCAGCTCCAAAGTCAAGTGCTGGTCTCTCGTCCTTTGCTCGGCTTTTCAACTGCAAACCCGACGAACCCGCGTTTCAATGCTCACAGAGCGGAACCGGAATCATAACCCTTGTGTCAAAGGTGGCGAAGCACTGCTTCGAAAAAGCAAGCAGGAAACCTATGCGGGTTTGTCTCAAGATCAGGGGGGCCCTCAAAATGGTCGCTTTTGGCTTCCCTTTGGAACCAGCCTAAAAGCAGCTCGAAAAAAAAACAATGCCGTGCCGAGCTTCATGCCGATCTCACTCTGCCAGCAGCTCGAGTGCCCCAGCAAGTTGAAGGCTGGGAAGTTCCCCCGCTGAGAGGACCACTCCAGGACCTAGTCACACTCGATGGAGCGTCGAGCCATCGAGCTGGCGCTGCGAGCGACAGCCCGCCTTGAACGGCATGCTCTCCAGCTCTTCCTTCTCCTCACTTTGAGCTGGAAACTGATCACTCTGCCACGTTGGCCAACGCTCACACGCACAATCTGACCATCAGCCGGTTGGACGTCTTTTTCCATGCCAAAGGCCCGGCCTCCTGCTCCTCAGTGATGGCGGCATCCAGCCTCAAAGGAAGGCTTCGAAGGCATGCCCCGGTTGGTTGACAAGCACGCCAAGTGACCGGAAGGCCTCGCCTGGCGCCATGGAAAGATGGCTGGGGGTCAAAAATAGGTACCCAAACATGGAACCCTGGTAAATGGAGACATGGGCTAAAACCTGCTGTCCCTGGTGGTGAAATTTTGACCATTTTGACCCATACCCAGATCAGGAAAGCAAAGCACCAAACGCATGGGACAAGACCCGGTAGGCACAGCCCGCCTCCATTCTCCCCCTCGTCTAAGGAGGCTTCCTTGGCGGCCACCTTCGAACCTCCACTGGCCAGCACTGCCACGCGCTTGTCAAAGGCGAGGACACGTTTTTGCACCTGGCGGGTCACCTGCGACCGGTGCTTCACCAGACTTTGGTTCCTGGCGTGGATGGCGTCCACGGCTCTCCGCCACTTCGCCTTGGGCGAGAGCCCATGGGCAGGCGGCTCCTCCTGCCACGGCTTTCGGCGGGCGCTTCTGCTGGCAGAGCGGTGGCTCTGCTGGCGAACGAGTTCGGGTGACTCTGGTGACTCTGGTGGCCCTGGCAACTCTGGCAGCACTGGCGGCTCTGGTGGCCCTGGTGACTCTGGTGACTCTAGCGGCTCGGGCACTTCTGGCTCGTCTGGCTCCTGCGTGCAACGTGAGGACCCAGCTTGGAAGAACGAAGGCAGCTCATGCAGTTAACCAAACAACCAGCCAACCAGCCGACCGGCAACACCGCCACCCCTGACCTTGATGGTTTCTGTGGCCCAAGCCGCATCGATCGCCGTGAGCTCTCCGGGCTCTGCCTGCTCCTTTGCCAGGCGCGTGGAGGGCGGCGTGGGCGTTGGCAGCGGCAGGAAGAAGCGATCCAGGCGCACCCGCGGGGCGGATCCCCCGGCGCGCGCGGACCGCGGCCGGGGCTTCTGGGGGCTTGTGGGGCTGAAGCTGGCCGCGTTTACAAAGGCCTGGAAGGGTTTGAACGGCTGGAAATCCATGGCACGCCCAAACCGCGCATGGCGCCAGGTAGGCGGATGGTTCAGCCTGCAGATTGAACACGGCGTTTGCCTTTGGAGTTGAGGCATGTTCCTCTGTCTTTGTCTCTTTGCGAAGGCACTTTTCATGCTACATTGCCCTGATTGGTGGGCGGCAAAGCATGCAAACTACATGTGCAAACCAACAGGACACCGCCAGCAATGCTACGCTTAACGAAACACCTCCTGTGGCAAAAAACAATTGGCAACTCAAAGCGGGTGTTGCCAGCAACAATGGCCAGCCAGCAGACCTCATGTTTAGTTGTGCTCTGCAAGGCAGTCTGAAAAAGCCCAGCTTTGCCTTTGCACCGCCTGTTTCGCTCCTGGCGAGCTTGCTCTGCCACCTATTCTTAACTTGTGTATGTATACACATCTTCATGAGCGGTTCTTCTACAGGTGGCTTTTCGATCCAAACCGTTCCCCCGGTCCAGCTGAGCTCAAGACTCCCCACGCCCCATGGCGCCCCGCAGTCGCTCGACCCGAAAGAGGCTGCCCGATTGCCGGTCACTCGGCAAAGCTTCTGGTCCCGTGGCCAAGAAGGTCTCGCGTTGCCGCTCGTTTCCAGCTCCCCGGTGTGGAACCACGGCCCCTGCGGGGAGTGCGAAACGCCGTGCTAAGCTGCCGGTCAACTACCATGTACATTCTCTGACTGTACACCAGACATCTGTCACCGGCCTATCTGGCAACTGGGACGCTTCAAATTCTATGAACAGGTTTTCACATTGCACGGCCAGTGGTCAAGCTCTACCTCAAAGGCTCGCCGGGCTTCAGCGTGCTCAGGTGTCCTTGTTCGCCCAAACATCCTGCGCGGCAAATCTTGCCAACCCTCGACACCAAGCCTAAGTACTGCTGGATGGTGCTGGCACTAGACTAGCCACCGAAACGTTAGACCTCGGATTTGTCTGAACATGGGGGTACCTGACAAAGCTTGCTGTGCAAAGCAAGCACCAGTCAAATGAAGAAGGCGAGATAGATTCAAAAGTTGCTCTCAGGTCATGCCGGCCTCCCTTAACTTATAGACCCCTGGCTGTGCCTCTCACCGGTGCCAGCCAACCTGACTGCCGGTCTCATCGAGTGCAGCGCGCGCATTTCTCCGGCAGCTTGGCATTTGCTCACAAGGCGCTTCGGCGGTGCAACTTGAAGGCCCTCCGCAGCAACGCGAATGCGCTCCGCTCCCAAACCTGCAGCAGCCTGCAGCACTGTGAAGTGGACGGGCCGGACCAGGGACAAACCGGCGTGTGCAGAAACACTGAGCCCTAGAGAGGTCAACAAGGGCGAGAATATCGTTCGATGCAGCTTCCTCTCCAGAAGCCGGGCAGTCACCACTGAGCTATACAGCACCAGCTCAACTGGCTTGAACTCGCCCAAGCGAGGCCATCCCGACCCATGCAGCATCCGCAGCGCGGCTGTGCGCTGCGAGCACTGCTCCGCAGTCCTTAGCCCCAGGAGATTCACCGCCGTCGGAAGGCTCGGAAGGCGCGAGACCACGGTCAAGGCGTGGCGCCACTTGCCAGCCTTCTGCAGGGACAGCAGCAGGCTGCCGCTGGCTGTCAAGGATGTCTTGGCCATGGCCTCGAACAAGCTCAAGGCCTGGTGCCACTGCGCGGCCTCCTGGCACCCGGCCAGCACAGCGCCGCACAGCAGCAGATCCCCCACATCCCCATCCCCGGCGCGCAGGGCGTTCAGCAAAACCAAGCCGCGAGCCCAGGAGGACCTGGACACAGCATCCACCAAGGCCGTGCGGCAGGCAGCATCCGCCTGCAAACCGGCGGCCCTCATGGCGTCAAAGATCTGCAGAGCCTCCATCCATCGCCCTGCGGCCGCGCAAGCGGACAGGGCTGCGCCGAAGCAAGGCACATCCACTGCCGGGCTCTTCGCGAAAATGTCGAGCGCGGCAACCCATCTCCTGCCCTGCTCACAGGCATGGATCGCGGCGGTGAAGCTTGTGACATCTGCCTGGCCCTTCCACTGAAACAGACTTTGCAAGGCAATCTCCCACTCAGACGCCTGGCCGCAAGAAGCTAAAACAGCTGTGAGGGCTGTGCTGTGCGTGACCTCGAGGTTGGCATTCAGCTCTGCAAACAGGTTAAGCACGTTCTGCCATTCAGTGGCATGGCGGCAGGCGGTCATCGTTGCGTTGTACATGACCTCGTCCGGCACGTCTTGCTCTTTCAGGATGCCGAAAGCCTGCAACATGATTGATTTTGTGCCACCTACTGTTGCTTGTCAACACAAAAAAAAACACAGCGCCTTGCAAGATGCTATCCCAGAAATGATGCGTATCGTGCAATTCACGGCGAAAAAAGTGCCTGTCAAATAAAGTGATGTTGTGCTCCGAAGTTGCTGGGAGTGCTGAGCGTTCGCATCAACGGAATGGAAAAACCATTTGCAAAAACTGTGGCTACAGCTCCTTCCCACCAACCATGACCTTCCAAGCGGCTTTGCCTTTTGTTCCTTTCTTGCGCATGCTGGCCCCTCCCCAAATGGTCTCCCTCGCGATTTTGGGGGAGCCGCAATTCAGTCCCCCAAAGGGCATCAAGCAGACTCTCAGGCCTTCGCTTCCGCGAACTAAGGCTCCAATCACACATAGCTGCTGCTTTCTTGGGGTTATGCGTTCATTTCCAGGTCCCCCCATCAGGTCCCCGCCAATTTGTCCCTTTTGCTTCTCTCACCTCCAAACTCGCCTCAAAAAGACGCACATCGCCGCCGCCGCCCTCGCCCGCCGCCCTCGCCCGCCCTCGCCCGCCCCAACCGAACCGCGCCTCCATCGCCAGCTGCCAGGCGGAGCCCCGGCCCGCGGAGCCGGCGAGCCGCGCGGCGAGGCGGCCGCCGGTGCCGCCTCCGGCGCCGGGCAGCAGCCGCAGCGCCGCCTGGCTGATGCGAGCGGGGAATGTGCTGGCTACGGGGCAGCCAAAAAAAAGCTTGTAACCCCAAAATGGGTCGGCCCGGGAAATCGGTCCCCTGGTGGTTCCATGCCATGACCCCTACAAACAATCCCTTGTGGTTTCTTTTCTCTGAGAAAAGTAGCCTCCAGCTTCCAGTTCAACAGCTAACGGCCAAACTGGGGAGGGCGGTGGGACTGTTCACTCCAAGCCCTCAAAGAAAACCCTCCGCAAGGGCGGGGGTCGCATTTGGACACCCCAACGTCCCAACGTGAGGCACGGTGGTCCATGCTATCAGCCACGCACATCCACCCGCATGCAATGTGGGTGGGAAAATGAAAGTGCATGCCACAATTCCGCCCTCAATATGAACATGGGATGGTATTTCAGGCACTCTTCCACTTGCAGTCTTCCTGTTTCGTGTTTCGAGTGCTTGTCAGGTTGCTCTTTCATGTTATGATCATGCGCTAGCCACACAAAAATTACACACTTCTCTCCGAAAAAGAAATACTTGAGCAGCGCCCAAAACACAATTTATTACTGTTTGTTCTACAATATAGGTGTAGGCAAGTCGCAACGTAAACTCACGAAGCCCAATAGAACCACCTACTAAAATGGCCCGGTGGGTGGAGTGCTCTCATTTGAGTTGCCAACCTGTCCTTGCATTGCATACACCACGTGTTTCAGCTCGTGTTTCAGCTGGCGTACGCTTTCTTGGAGATAGGACATTACTCGAAAAGAGACACAGCATTACCTGCTAGCTTTTGTCTTGCTAGAGCACCGACGATTGCTCCGGGCTGGTGACTGCTCCGGGTAGACGGTAGACGTACCGGCCGCAAAAAGCATTCCAGTTGCGACACTTGGGCCAGGGTTCGAGTCTTCGGGAAATCGACCCCCCCCCCCCAAACCCTCCCCCCCCCCCCAATTCCCCTTCTTCCTCTCCCCCCAAATCCCCCGCTCCCGGAGCCCCTGGAACCATAGGCACCTGCCAGTGGTGGCTGGACGTCGCTGCAGAGATCGCCGCCAGAGCCGCCTCCTCGCCCTGGATCAGCAGCGCCTGGGCTGCGAACCCCTACCCCAATTTGGGGAAGCACCAAGAGTCGGGTCTGTCCCAAAAGTCCTGGCCCAGTTCCTCCTGGACTCCTGGAACCTGTCTCCTATTTAGTCTTGTCTTGCTTTCATCGTGTATTCTCTTGCTTTGCTGGGGGCTGATACGAAGCCATCCTGTTGGGCATTCGCTGGTCTAGCTGGGCACCTGCTGCCATCGGCTGGCCCATGCCCAAGAGGATGCCACGGCAGCCGCGGCGTCCAAACTGCGCAGCCACCCAGAGTGTGTCGCAACAAGCGAACCAGGGCTGCCTTCAATAGCAAAGCTCCGAGATTTGAAGGGTCCTGGTTCCAGGACGAAAACGACGGAACACATGTCATTCTTTGGGAAGCTTCTGATGCTAGCACGAGCCCAAGCCAAGCATAAAATCCGCCGACGGAATGCCTACAGCCTTCTCTCACTCCATTTCCGCCAACTCAGAACCCACGGGCGAAACAGAGGTTGCCCCCAAGACCCTGGCAAAACAACCCCGGGTAGCAAAAAAAACGAAACGATGCTTCATGTTCCAAGTCTGTGGCTACGACTCGCAATGCTGACTTGGCAACGAGGTCCCCACCTGGGCAAGGCGCCCAGCAAAGCCAGGGACCTCTGCCACGCCGAGGCCCTGGGCGAGCGAAACTGCCCAGTTTCAAGCATGCCGCTCGTGTGCTCGCCGAATCCGCCCAAGGTGACAGGTCAAGCTGGTTCCCCAGCACAGGCTGGGTTCTTCACAGTAACTGACATCTTGGGGGTGATACTGCGAATGCTGAGAAAAACCGCCCGTCCGAGTGTTTCCTCATTCGACTCGAAGGGTCGGGACCCGAAACGTCCAACCGCCTCCTGCACAGCGCTGAAACCACGAGCAGCGCCTGCGCGCTGTCCTCTCTCAATCCGAAAGCGAGGCGCGCGGATGTTTGAATGAGTGCAACCGGTCAGATTCCACTGCAATGAGTTGCCTGCTTCACGCCTGAAATGCACGGGTGGCTGGAAGGGCCTAACTGCCTTGTGCCAATTGCTAGCTGCAAGATCCTCGCGGACTTTGGCGGCATTTCCAGCCAGTGCTTTGGGCTATCCCACCAGACCGCTCCTGCTTGGACCGCTCTACCAGCGCCAGGGCCTGCTGGAGCGTTGAGCTACTTTTCGCGTGGAACATGCATTAAATCTCATTAAGTTGGTTTTCAAGTACATCTGCATACACTAAGAAACACTTGTTTGTCTGTATACCTCTGTGTACAAACAAAAAATAGAAATCTGACAAAAATAATTCCTGAGAACATCGCCGTTATCATGGGGGATGATCCTCTGGTGAGGACGCTCCGATTTGCCGATCTGCGTGCAGCTGAGGTAGGACAACCAGCATCAACCAACTTTGGCACCTGAACAGAAACAGCCTAAACTGACGCTGCATTTCCTACACAAATGCAGCTATGATTCCTTGGACCTGCTTGACAAGAGAGGCTGATGAAGCGATATGCCGAAAGGGAAGCACCCGAACGGCACAGTGCACACGTGTTCTGTTCTGCGCTCCCGGCCTCCCACCAGTGCTGCTTCCGCCCCACGGCTTGCACCAAGGCCGTCAGCTTCGACATGGCGCGGCATCGCTGCGAAACGCGACGCGCCCGATCGCCCTTTTAGCGGAGGAGCGAGCGAAGGCTTGGGCCCATGTCGGGTCTCTGCGGCGGAAGGCGCTGGGCAGAACAGAAGGCTCCGAGTCGGAGTCTGGAATCCCATGCACCCGTTGCTCGGGTCTGCGTACAGCTCAGTCTGGGCCTAACTCGATGCCAGGCCTCACATCTTCTGCACGTCCGCAAAGGGGTCGAACACGAAAGTACTGCGCAGAGTGGCGCGCAAACCCATGTCTGCAAGCCCCACGCAGCGAAAATGTCCCAAACCCAAACAAATCCACGACCCACGCGCAGGGCGCGCTTCTCTTCCAGGAACATGAGGTCCACCACCAGCAGGGAGCCCACCATCACCTACTCGACTCGACTCGATTTGAGCTATGGCCAAAAGGAACCCCTCCCAAATATATCCAAGGACCCCTGCTGGATTTTCCAAGAACTTGTGCTGACTTGGCACTGGCTCTTGCAAGAAAGGCCCTCTGGGGGCGCGGCTGTTATGGAAAGCCAATGAGTCCAGTACCTCTCTCTGATCCAGGGCCATACAAATGAAACTGGGAGCATCCTGCCAAAAGAATGCATGCACACCATATCCGGAAGACTCTGCTGTGGGGCACTTTGTCGTCGTCGAGGCTATTGTAATCACAATCAAAAGGAGCAGGACCAGCAAAAACCTGGCAGACCATCAGCTTCATATCTCCTAAAAGGCAGGCGTCCCCTCGTTCCAATGGGCAAATGGGTGTAAAGCCGCACACACTGGCTCAAAAAGGGACCGAGGGCGTGGATTCAGGGTTAACACATGTGGTAGTCGCACCTGATCCCCATCTTGTTGGCGTCACTCTCACGCAGGCTACTCATCTGTGTGGAGTTGACAACATATGTGCTTACCATTCAGTTCAGCATCCCATGAAAATCTGCCCCTAGAGTTCCATCTGGTCTTCTGCAGATGCGGCTGACGGCGTCTATCCTACGTCTCGTGAATTCTCCTAACACCCACGGCTCAAGCTCACGGCGACAAATCTCCGGCGGGGATGCCCGCCGCGCTTCATGAGAGACATGGCGGCCTGCAGTCTTCAGCGGAGAGCGGGCGGAAACAAAGACCCTGCCACATTTGCCGTTCAGCTTGCCTGCACACACGGTCGAGCGCTCGCTGCTTCTCAACCCACAATACTGAGCCAAGAGTCACAAAAGCATGTGGCCACAAAAAGCAGTCTGGTATCGCAAGTGCTTGAAGGTCCGCGTGCAAAAGCAGCTGGCACTAGATACTAAACAAACACCTTGCACGGATGCTTCCCCTGCTAACCGGCTTGCCCCGAGATCGCTCGCATGCTGAAATGCAACTGCCCTTTTGACTGGACGTAGTTGCAGAGCTGGCATCTCCGTCACTGGCAACGTAAGAGCTGCCGGCATAGGTCTCCTGGCTTTCATAGCCGTACTGCCAGTCAAACGTTTCTCCTGCCATTGGCCACGCGCCATTTCCCCACCAGCCTTCCACCCATGGCACTTCCGCCTCCCAGTCCCAAACCTCGCCATCCTCCGGGATCTCCTCCACCTCCAGCAGCTCCTCTGGCTCCTCATCCCCTTGGCCCCCGGGGGGGCCCTGGCCCTGGCCTTGGCCGCGTTTTTTCTTCTTCTTGGCAGGGCGGTTCACGAAAATCACGTCGGCCTCACACGCCAAATAGAACTTCCCGATGAGGTAATTCGCATAGCCCTCCGGGCGATTGTTTTGCGCGGACCATGGCCCGCTAGGAGGGTTTGGCTTGTTCACAACCGTCCGCTTCTGCGCGTACAACATGGTTGAGCCATCCAGCGTGTAGTACTCATCAAAGAAGCTCATCTCCGGCTTTTCCACAAAGTTCGGGAAAGTTGACCAGCAAAGGTGGTGCGAGGAGAATTCCACATAGGGCCCATGATCACCATACACAATGCGATCATAGCCCATGGCAATTGGAAGGCCATTCACAGAGCTGTAGAACTCTGTCCAGGCATCTCCAAATTCTGCAAGGCCAACGTTGTTCTCCACACGTGACCTTGGGTCTGTGTGAATCCAGTGTGACCCCAAACCGATGCGTCCCAAAATGGAGACCCCTGGGGCGGTGTCCTTCCACTTTCCAACCCACTAGGTGAACTACGTGCCGCCCATCAAGGCCAAGGGTCTTGTCTCGCTGCCGGTTGGGGGCTATGGCCGTGGTCGAAAACACGCGGACCCACTGCCTCAGCGCAACTATCACTTCCTGGCAACGCTCTCAAGTTGGTAGGCTTCATGCTTAGCGTGGCCACAAGTTGGATCAAGATATCCCACTTGAAGTCGGCATCACAGAAAGTTTCAAGCAGAAAGACAGGAAAAAGTGCCAAGCAAACAGTTCTCCTTCCGTCACAAAAAACAGAGCTGACCTCCGAACCCACCAGCCCACCAGCCCACCCACCCACCGCCAGGCCGCCCTGTGGGCGTTTGGGCCCATTGCAGATGAGTTCCTGCCCGGCCACTGGGACGACTGGCCGCCCCGCTCATTGTGCCGCATTCCACCAGGCGGACCCTAGCGAGGAGAAACAGGGTCCTCAAAGTAACCCGGCGCTTCCAACCATAGGGGAAGCCATGATGTAAAACCGAGAGGTCAGTAAGAAACCCTAGTTACTGTGAGTGGAAGCGCTGGCTAAAGTCTGGAACCCCCAAAATGGATGGTTTTAGGTTGCATAACCTTCAAAGCAAACCCAAAGAGGGCACCCTGACCAAAATGGCAGATCGCAAACAAACTCCGTCCCACAAACAACTCTGCCACACAAGGAATGGACCCGGCCTGGACTTTGGCTTGCGCGCCTCCTTTCCGGCATCCTTTTTGGCCTCATCAGCATGCTCCTGCAAAGCGGCCAAAAGGAGAGGATTCCTGGCTCGTGATTCCCGCCTTGGTTTGGGCTCCGGCTTCTTCCATTAGGCACGGTGGGCAAATGGAACGTGCCGGTTCAGGCGGACAGCTTTTGACTTGTGACATCACTGCTCGGCTTGATGTTGCTGTGCAGGAATAAGTGGGCACGCTGCGAGCCAAATCAGATATGACGTGCGTGTCTCCGTGAGTTGACAGCGCGCGAATGTGCAAATATGTGACTCGAGAGGACAGGGAGAGAGAACACGGAGAGAGGACACTGAGTTTTAACAGCAATACATGTCAATGCAATGCAATGCATTGAAACGAGAGGACGTGCAATGAAATGCAAACAAAGCAACTGTTCGCAAAAAACGACTTGGTCAGCAGTTGTGTGAGGAGCGGGTTGTGTGAGGAGCAGTTCTTCACAAACAACATCCAGAATAGATAGGTAGTGCCAACATCCAACAAGAATAATGATTATAATGAATACACATTGCGAACAACATTCAAACCAGCAACCCCCACCCTCCCGAAACAAAACCCACGCCCGGCTATCCCCATTCGCATCCGGCAGCTTCGGCTCCGCTTTTCCTCCTTGCCGCTAGCCCAGCATCACTGCAGCCTCGGCTCGCGTATAGCATGTATACAGAACATATATAATGCGTATATATATATATATATATATGTGTGTATGTTAAGAGTATACACGACCTTGTAGCATGTCACGGCAGTACAGCTTGGTCACACCGTGGCTGTACAATCAAGGCGTTGAGCCTACAATCTGTCTGGACAAAATAGAGTGACTACAGCCGCGCTGATACATCTCACAAGCACTTCACTTCAGGCAATCAGGTAGCATTCAGTTTAACATGGTAGCGGAGCACAACTGACTACAGCATCACCACACCTGCGAAAGATCCAACCAACCAAAGTACACAGTAGCACAGTAAGTGACAATGGCGGCACAGGGGAGTGCACAACAAGCACAACTCCAACAGCAACTGTCAGGAGTCCACAGGTACAGAATATCACCACCACGATTCAACGGCGAGTACTCCACATTCGAAGAATGGAAGTACAAGATGACAGCATACCTCGGTTTGCAAGAGTCATCATACAACAGACTACGGAGCAGCGTCAACAATATGCAGACAGAACATGCTCGGCAACGGTTTCGAGACATGGAGACAACTACACCTACGTTACGCACTGCCACTTGGTACAAGAAGCATCGGTTCCCTCACCAAACTACTCAAACCACAACTAGACGAAAACAAGTTCGAAGAGAGCTTTACAACATAGGAGTTTCAACTCGCCAAGTACGAACAAGACAACAGAACACTACTACTGGACGCAATCAAGATTGCAATCCTGCTCAACGAGACAAAAGGTCCACTACAACAGCATTTGCAACTACAAGCAGGCAATGTCACAACCTACGCACAAATCAGATCACTGGTTGTGGAGTATCACAGAGCAGCATCACAATTCGTCAAACTACAAGCGGCTACGAGTAGTGACAACCAAGGTCCAGCACCAATGGACATAGGAGCAACATGGTACAACAAAGGAACGGGCAAGAAAGGAAAAGGGAAGAACAAAGGAATACAACAGAGGAAAGGGCTACGGCGGCTACGGCAACTACAACTATCACAAAGGAGGCAAAGGAGACAACAGATACAACCAGCCGATAGGACAAGGAGATCCGTTCAAAGGCGGATACAGCAACAAAGGAAAAGGAAAAGGATATCACAAAGGTAAAGGACACAACAACTACAGCAAAGGAGGCAAAGGAACAAAAAGAAAGTAAGCCACAAACGTATGCTACAGATGCGGACAACCAGCACATGGCCAAGCAATGCAGAGTGGCCATCTACAACTATGACAACGGCAACATGGAAGACAACGACGTCACAGATGACTGGTACCACAACAATCACTACGATGGAAATTGGCACAACATTGATCAGACACAATTGCAGTCTCATCAGCAACAACTAGCACTACAATACAACAAGGCAATGAACAGATGCCTTTGGTAGTCTCGGGACTTGAAGAAGTGATCATTGCTACAGCAACGGCACAACAACAAGAAGGCACAAGCAACAGATACATCGATCTCATGATCGACAGTGATGCAGCTACACATGTCTGCCCACCATGGTTTGCAACAGAGTCCCAAATACGATCACCGACACCAGAAAACGGACCACAGCTGAGAACAGTGACAAACCAGCCAATCAAGCTACACGGATACAACTGGGTTTGTATGAACAACATCAACGGACAACGCATTGTCATACCGTTCTATGTGTGTGACATCAAACAACCCATACTATCAGTGACAAGACTCATAGAACAAGGCTTCCAGATTGCGCTGGATGACAATCCAAGGATACACCACGACAAGGGCTTCGACAGCAGCATCACACGGTCACATGGACTACTCTTCCTACAAGCAGAGATCACAACACTGCCACAAGGAACAGAATTGAAGATAGACAACACAGAGCAAGGACAGGTGGCGATGATAGCACCAACGACCACACTGACACCACAAGGAGCAGAGTACACAGGATATGCAGGAGACTACTAGCAATTCAACAGCCAAGGAGAGCTCGTCAGAGTACATCGGCAATACAGGAAAACCAGTGCCCGGTTTCGACAGATAGACTTGAAAACTACAGAAGAACGACAATCAAAGGAAGAACGGCACAACAAGGACGATAGAGGATCGATACCAACATCTCGACAATCCAAACCAGGCACAGCCAACACTGTGGAAAGGAGAGACAGTGTTCAGGGTAAAGAAAGGTACAACACTGCCAGACACACTACAACAGCAACTGGCAGCAAGGCAGCAGCAAACGCAACAGAAAGAGATCAACAACATCGAGAGTCGCACCACAAGTAATACAACACAAACCACAAAGGAGGATAACAGGAAAGCAACCACGACAAACAATACAACAGCAGCAGTCCGAGACGACAGGGACAGGACAAGGAATCCCTCACCCATCGGAACTACAACCCGGTGGAGACTACTGGTACAGAGAAGGACCACACTGGAAGCGAGTCCACGTACAACCACGCACATCCTGCTACACACCGGAGCAAACAGATGATGGACCGGACATCACGAAGTTGAGTCCGTACAGGCTAACAAAGATACAACCAGCAGGAAACGAAGGCAACATCAAGGTAGTACAGGGCGAATGGACAACTGAGCAATCAAAGACACACAACACACCTTGGACTGGCTGGACAAACTTCGAAGAACAAGAACAGTACCCAGCACAACTGGAGTCAGACGATGAAGAACAGCAACAAGGGAGAAAAGCACGAGCAGCACAAGCACCAAAACAGCCTACACCACAAGAGATACTAGAACACAACGTGACCCACCTTCCGTACAGGAGTTGGTGTCCTATATGCGTACAGGCTCGCGGCCGGACAAACAATCACCCGAAGCAACAGAGCACACTGCCAATCATACAACTAGACTTCGCGTATCTAAAAGGCTTCGACGACAGCAAGGTGCATCCGATACTCACAGCAATCCACATGCAATCAGGCATGATGATGGCGCTACAACTCTCAGAGAAGCAACGACTCTTTGACTACGCCGTACAACAGCTACAGCAGTTCTTGGTAGAATGCGGCAGAACAACACATGTGACACTGCAATCAGACCAGGAAGACTACTTGATGGGACTCACAAACGCAGTAGCAAACACACTGGGGAACATAACCACACGCACTTCACCGGCATACAGTTCACAGTCACAAGGCGGCGTAGAACGGGCACACCGCACACTCTTCGGACAGATACGAACACTGAGAGCACAAATGTTCCAGAGCTACAACAGGCCAATCACCATGAAACACCCCATCATGCCGTGGATAGTGCGACACCGCGCATACATCGTGAACAGATACGCCACACACGCAAACGGATTCACAAGCTTCTACAACAGATGGCACAAAGAGCAACATACGCCACTATGTTAATTCGGCGAAACCGTACAACACAACCACAGGCGAATCCCTGATAGGGATACACAACAAGATACTACGCACACGTACGATACGACGACAGATCAGACCGCACAAGTACAACCAACAACTCTTCGACGCGATCAACATCGGACCGCGGCGTACACCAACATCAACGCTTACTACGCCGGCAGCGTAGACAACAATCACGCCAACGATGCTGCCTGCCATTACCACAACGACAACAGCAAACGGCAAGGCAACACAAGGACGCAACAACGAGCACATCAGCAGATGGCAAGCTCAATACAGGCGAACAAAAGGATGACGGCTCGCCAAAGAAACAGCAGAGAACAAAGGAACCCATCACCGATGGCAACAGCGCCACCTATGACACAAAGACCAGCGCTGCCAATGCCTACATCATCAACAAGACCACGATCGGATGAAGTCACAGAAGGCAGCACAAGTAAACAGCAGAAGACAACAGCAGGAGCACCAGTAAAGGAGAGACCCCACGACAGGAGAACAACCGCAACGCAAAAATGCGATAACAGTCACCACACGGGATGGCAAACACGTCGAGACAACATCAAATGAGGGTCCACAGGAGATAGAAATGAAAGGATACTACTGGAACCCATACTGCATGGTACAGAGGGACTGGATCCAACAAAGGTTGCAACAGGAATGAAGAAGGAGATACAACAAATGAAGGAACAGGGAGTCTACACCGAAATGGACGGCAACACACTCTCGACTGAACAATGGTCCAACATTGTAGAATCCAGATGGTTACTACGACCGAAACAACAAGAGGTACGAGCACGGATGGTTGCAAAAGGATACACCGAGAACACCAGTGACAATGACCTCATCTACGCAAGCACACCACTGTTCTGTATCCTACGGATACTGCTTACAATGGCATTGTGAAACAACTGGTCGGTACGCACAGGAGATGTAAGCGTAGCATTTCTACATGCAGCAACAGCAACACTCAACATCATTATGAGACCACCACCGGAGATCCACGACGACAACAACAACCACATAATGTGGAAACTGAACAAAGCAACCTACGGACTGAGATCATCGCCCAGACAGTGGCAAGACCAAATAGCAGAAGTACTTACAGCACTTGGGTTGACAAGACTCAAAACAGACTCGAACGTTTACAGGAACAGAGCAGGAACGGCTTACATCATGGTGTACGTGGATGGTCTACTGTTCCTGGGAGAACAACAAGAGATAGACATCCTGTTTGACAAGATCATGAAACATGTCTTGCTTCGATCAACAGGCAAGCTCACAACGGGTAACACAATCACTTTCCTTGGAAGAAACATCACTCACAACGGAGACCACATTGACATTAGTCTGGAAGATGACTACATCGACAACATCCTGAAGGAGTCCAACATGACCACATGCAACGCAGCACTAGCACCCAGGATTTCACATCCCAAAGCTGCAATAGAAGATGAGACAGTTCTTGACCCGGAACAGCATTCAGCCTACAGGCGTTTGGTCGGTAAGATACAATGGCTAGCATACACAAGGCCAGACATCAGCTATGGAGCTAAGGAGTTGGCCAGATCTCTACAAGCACCAACACAGAGGGACAACAAGAAACTCAAGCACATGATACGGTACCTCAAAGGTACAAGACACTGGAAACACGCCCTCAGACCGACAGCACAAATACAAGACAGGAGGGTTCCAATCAACATCGACATCTACACAGATGCAAATTGGGCATCATGCGAAACAACTCGCAAGAGCACAACAGGGTTTGTCATACATTTCCTGGGAGCTACAGTTCACTACGGAAGCAGAACAGCTGCACAAGAAAGCATCTACATCAGCAACTTCGTCAAGGAAGCTTTGGACACAAAGACCAACATCAGAATTCATACAGACAGCAGTTCGGCTAAATCAATAGCCATGAGAGAAGGTACATCAAAGAAAGCAAAGCACATAGAGCTACGGTACCTGTTCACGCAACAACTAGTCAAGAACAAGATCATCACAATGTGCAAGATAAGGTCGGAACACAATTTCTCGGACATACTGACAAAGTTTGTCCCAACCGACACACTCCACAGACACCTGTACACGGTAGGCTTGCCCAGCCAACCTTGACATCAACAAGTACATCAACGACAAGAGTATCACCCACAGTTTGCGCTGCAAAGTTTGCACAGTATGTTTAAACATCATCAGTTGCACAGGTCACGCACCTTCGTTTCACTACATGTCAGCCGGCTAAACCACTTTTAGGGTAGTTCCATTGCCATGGATCTACCCCTTGCGCTTTTATTTCTACCTGTTGGGTACAACGACGACCCTGTTTTTGCAACACAATCTCTTGACTGCAGTTTTACCTGACAGCTTGACAAAACCTTGAATACATGTTTCATCACTGCAGCCATTTACATCGGTCTTGTACAACCGGAGGGAGATACACTGCCAAGTCAACAATGGCCCATCGTGCGTACAAATCCATCCATCAGCCTATGGTGGTACCGGATGGTTTTACACTGGAACCTACAGAGGGAAACCCTGCCTACATCGCTCCTGAGGAGCCAAGCGACTACACCACCGTGCTAATTCCGCTTACAACGGAACAGGCCAAGTTCATGACAACGGTGGCTACCAAGGAGGCGAACAGAGTCGACAAGATTCCCGGCTACACGCGTGCCCCCACACTTGGTTTTGTTGGCATGTTCTAGGACGCTGTGGGATACATGAGTTGGCTTATCCATGACAGTACGGATGACACGAGCAACTGCTACATCTACTGTGTCTCGCTGCATACAGCCGAAATCCTGCAGCGCGTAGACGAGAAGAAAATTACAATCTTCAACCAGGGCTACATCGGGCTTGTGCTACAGCTACATGAACATCACACATGGATCATGACAGAGATTGAGAGGAACACCGGCACATTTTTCCGCATCAGTGGCGACATCAGGAACCTGTACCGAAGCTACAACCTCGCAAATGGCCACATGGCGCTACAGCACATCATCCTGAACACCGAACAGATGTTGGACATCGAAAACAAGTTCGACAGGAAACATGCAGGCTTCTCCATGGCCATCACCCAGTATACATATGCCTCGATACAGGCGGTGCCAGAGCCACTTCGCACAAGGCTCTTTCACTACATCTTGGGGAACAATCTGCAGCTGGCAGGAGGCGCTACAGTTTTGGCCCCCGGACAGGCAGGCTACAGTGATCAATGCATGCGAGAAGTGGACAGCGCAGTGATTATGTCTCAACACAATGGCTACAAGATGTTGCACAGCAAGCGAGTTCAAGAGGAAAACAACTGAAATGGTTGTACAAGAGAAGTACAATTTTGGCCCATGTGGCACACCGGACTCATCGATGAGTTTGGAGCACAAGCTCCTGACCGCCTACAAGGGACATCGATGTACAACAATCTGTAACATGGCGAACAGTTTTCGCAGATGAGTTTTACATCATCCCGAACCACAAGGTCATGACTGTACATACAATACATTTTAGAGATACAGTTTGAAACACTGTACTCTAAGGAGGCGTGCTAAGAGTACACACGACCTTGTAGCATGTCACGGCAGTACAGCTTGGTCACACCGTGGCTGTACAATCAAGGCCTTAAGCCTACAATCTGTCTGGACAAAATAGAGTGACTACAGCCGCGCTGATACATCTCACAGGTATTTCACTTCAGGCAATCAGGTAGCATTCAGTCTAACAGTGTATAGCCTAATGTATAGTATACTATGCATATTATATATGTATTTATGTAAATATATATATATATACATATCATATATCATTGAAAAATCACATCAGGATGACCTCACTTGAACTGGCAACCAGCTGAAAATGAGATCACGCCTCCTCCAGCTCCTCTGGCAGCACCACGTCCAGCAGCGCCCAGCCGCCGCCTTTGGAGGCCCAGAAGTTGTAGTTCTCCAAGGCGCCCACCGCCGGCTCTCCAGCGATCCTGGGAGAAACTCGCGGTTTTAGCCGAAAGCCCAAGGAAAGCGGAAGGCCGGGGTGACCGATTGCCTGTGGGGAGTTCTCATCTTGGGACCCAGGTTGAAAACTGTTTGCGCAAAGATGGCCGAAGCTGCTCCATGCGCCGCTCTCAGAGTGGGTCAGTGCCTGTCGTCATGTTCCGTCCACAGAAGTGATTGGCCGTCACTGTAGCCCAAAGCTGCTGTAGCGTTCCATCTTTTGACTGGGAGCTCACTCGCCGATCAGTTTGGCTGCACAATTCGTGCGCCGATCGGTCAAAGCCAAGCCAGACCTGTCTTTTTCATCGGGGCAAATAGAAAATCAAATGGCACTGCCAACAATTTGAGCCGAAGCTTGGGTACCTCAAGCCGACAATGTGTGTCACGCTGTACACTGCCAGCTTCAGGGCCAGCGGGCAAAGACTGCCTTGGGTATAAAATGGAGCTCAGACCGCTCACTTGTCCAGGTACTCGTTGATGTCCGGCATCTCGGCCTTGATGTTCTTGCGCTTGCGGATGCTCAGTATCAGCTCCCCCGCCTTGCTGCCCTTGTCCAGGGGGTTGCCCTCCAAGTTCTCCCAGTGGTCCAAGGCGCACGAGGGGGATGCTTGTCCCCCCGTCTCGCCTCGCAAGGCGGCATGGAAGCCGAAGGACTCTGACACGGGCAAGAGCGCCGTCACTTTCATCAATGGCGTGCCCTCTCTGGGAATCTCTTCAAGAACTTTGCCACGGCGGGAGCTCAGGCAGCTGTAGACGCCGCCCATGGCAGTTTGCGGGCAGGTGATACTAACCAGGAACACGGGCTCCTGCAGGGCCGGCTTTGCCATAAGCTCCGCAGCGCAGCAGCATCGTCGGGTGGGAGTCATGATCTGTGCTGCACCACGCTGAATGGCGTCAGCGTGCAAGGTTGCATCCATCAGGCTAAAGCGGATGCCGCGCATGTTCTCCTCGCAAAGCGGACCCTCCTTCGTCGCCCACTGGAAGCCCATGGTCACATGCTCCTTGACCTCGCCCAGGTACTGCACATCCGCAGTGGCATCCACAAGAATGTTCGCAGTCTCAGGGCCGTAGGCCCAGATCTTGGTTTCGGCCAGCTGCTTCTCCCAGCCGAAACCAACCAACAGCTTGGCTCGCTCGGCCAGGTCAGCAGGGGCCCCCTCAAGGGCTTTGCTGAGCTCTTCAGCCAGCGGCTCTGCCTTCACGTGGATCCGATTGTGCGTGTTCGGTGACACCGTCGAGCACGGCTCAGACGGCGCGCTCACAGTCTCACAGTAGGACACCCGTGGCTCGGACACGATGAGGTCACACTGGGCATACTTCTTCAGCTCCTTCACGCACAAGTCCACGTGGAGATCTCCGCTTCCGGCAACGGCGTGCTCTCCACTCTCCTCCGATGTGCACACCGCCAAAGGGTCGGATTTGGAGAGTTTCTTCAGGCCCTCCACCAGCTTGGGCAAGTCCGATGCCGTACTGGGTTTCACCGCCACCTTCACCACAGCGCACACGCTGTACTTCATGCAAGCGAAGTTGTGGGCATCCTCCAGTGTGGTGATGGTTCCTGCCTTCAGAATGTACTGATCGACGCCGACCAGGGCCACAGTGTTGCCACACGGCACATCCTGGATGGCTTCAGCCTTGTCCAGCATGAGGACGGTGTCCTCAATGTCCTTCACATGCAGGTCAAGGCCCTTGCTTCCGGGCTTGTAGTCCGGACCCTGGATGCGGACCTTTTGCCCCTTGGCAATGGTGCCAGAGAAGACACGGCCGAAAGCATAGAAGCCGCCCTTGGGATTGGGACACATCCTGGACACGTACATCATCAAAGGGCCTTTCGGGTCGCAGCCGCGGATAGCCCGAGCTGCGGCATCATCCATCGGGCCTTCGTACAAGTTCTCGACGCGGTACTGCTGGGCCTTGCGGGGAGATGGCAGCTTGGTCACGATCATCTTAAGAAGCGCCTCCGCCGCGTCGAGCCACGAACTCATGACTCGCTGCATCAAATCCTTGCCAGACAGCGCCTTGTCCTCATCCTTCAAATCAATGCGCAAGGCGCCCATCATCCTTTCGTACTTATCCTTCTCGTTATTCATGATGGAGTTCATCAGCTGAGACACTGGATGGATGATGAACTGGCAGAATGCACGATCCCCACCATCTTCACTCTGTGATGTCCACTTCTTTTTCTTGGCATTGAAGTAGCTGTCACCCCACAACCTCTCTACCATCTTGTCGTGATCGACGCCAAACTTGGCGGCGTACATCTTGGCAAACTTGTTGAGGTCAAATCCCCATCCGTGAATGCCGCTACCAAAAGCGACCGTGCCCCTCTCGGGTTGCACTTGCAGATCCCCCATCTTTGGGTCGTTGTAGGTGGAGATGACGACGTTCGCGGACTCGATCGCACGCGCGCAGGCCCGATAGATGTCCTCGGCTTCCATGTGCAGCTCCAAGATGCAGCGGTCGAGCTTGTTGACAAAGAGGCATGGTACCACACGCTCTTGGAGAGCCTGCCGTAGGACCGTTTCTGTCTGAACAGAAACGCCCTCAACGCAATCCACAACCACCAGGGCACCATCAGTGATGCGCAATGCAGCTGTCACCTCAGAACCTGGCGAATCTATCATGTTGATCAAGTGTGGCTGAGGTCCCTTGCCATCCTCCGCGTCGTGCTCGAAGCACAAAGGCACTGCTGTTCCTGTGCTAGCAGTGGCGTTCGCGACTCCGGCCTTGCCGGTCAAACAGCTGGTCAAGCTGGACTTGCCGTGGCCCTCGTGCGCGATGATGCTCATGGAGCGAATGTCATCGGTCTTGTCCATGAGCTGTCGCAGCTGTTCCACGGTGAAGCTCGGCATGGCTCCGGTAAATCAAAGTATGGGTTCGTCTAGGTTTGTGAGACAGCTATACAGTACGTATACAACTTGAACCCTGCGCGGTCCACAAAGCTGCTCCTTAGGTCAAGCGAAAAGTCCATCAACATGCCCACTCCGGCCAATCTCCCCAAGCTCTGCTAAGTGGGTTCCCTGCAAAGTGTGAGACAAAGCCAGGCAAAGAGCAACCCCCGCGCCCGAGCCGCTCGAAATGGAATCCCAGGCCGTCGGGCAGGCGGAAGGCCTGGCAAGCCAGCGCTCGGACTCAAATAAAACCCTTGGAACCCTTGGAACCCTTGGAACATCTTGAAACCTTTCAGGATCTCCAAGCTTCGGAGCCCTGAGGAAAACTTCCATCCGGGACGCTCAATTCCCGCCTCGATGCGCTGGCCGGGCTTGGGCTGCCTGGGCAAAGCCAACGTGAGCGCCGTGGACTTCGCGCGGAGGTGGATCCACACCTCGCTCAGCAGCACGAAGAGCTCCTCGCTTCCGATTGGCTAACGCTGAGAACGGGTGTCCTACAAAATAGGCAACCCACGGCGAATCCTATGATGCAGCCGATCAAAGGTACCTGAAAAAGACCCTCCATCGTCCTGCGGAGTTTGGAAAGGCTCAAAGTCATGGAGAACGGACGGCCCATGGAAGTTTTGCAACGCTTTCTCGAGGCGTCAAGAGCTTTGGGACCCAACTTGATCCTGCCCGGTATTCTCGCGGGTCCGAATGGTATCCTCCCAAACATTAACATGGGCTGTCTCGCAGGCAAGTCCAAACAGGCGGGCCATGTGATGTTTTGTTCTGTGACAGTCTCCCCGCTGTTGTTCCCACTCAAACATATAGTGTTCAGTCAGGAATATGATGCCCAAAGGAAAACATGGCATGCGCGTGACGAAACTTAGATCTGGCCCACAGTATCCTTGCGAGTCCAGTTCCGACGCAACAGTGTCCTTCGGCGGTTGTGCAAAGGACACGGTCACCTCCATGGTTCCTCAGCGCTTTGAACAGCACTGGGATGCCGCATACGCCTGCACACGCCCTGGCTTCCGATCAACGACGAGGAAGTGTTCTCCTGCTTTGGTAGCTGTTCCTCTCAACTTCCCGAATGCGACAAATCAGCATGAAACTTGCCGGGTTTGGGGCCCGGGTTTTCCCGGTCAAGCTCAGCCGCACAGCTTTCGGGAAAGGGAGACTCCTGGCCATGGCTCCATCCTCGCGCACTGTCATCCGACTAGCAGGGGCTGGAAGCCTTGGCTGAAGCGCATGCGCACGATCGCTGAGCCCATAGCCCACAAGTTTTTTCTGATTGAACGCTAGCCGTGGGGCAAAAGGCTGCTGGGTCCCAGTGATGCTGAGCCAGACTCGACCCAGGATCGCTTGGACCCAGTAGATAGGCCAGGAACTGGATCGCCGGTAGTTTTTGTTGTCCCTCTACGAGTCCCTGGCCCCTAGTTGAAAAAGTTCAAACATGTCGTGTTTGTTTGCACTATCTAGACTTGGATTTAGATAATGGGTCACTATACTTATCCCAATGGCTAGTGTTTGCTGCTTGAGCATTTGCATGAATAGCACCATAGTGGCAAGCCTTTTGTGCTGTTGATGATGCAGGATTGGAAGTGAATGCTACAAGCAGTGATAGCTTAAGAATATCTGCAACTAGAAACAACACTGATTGCTGCCTTGCTTAACCTTTAAACAGAAGCACATGTGGCAACAAGGGGCGCGTTTGCACTGGGGCTACAGCTCTAAGCAACCCATGCTCTATGCATGTTGGTTGTCGGCCCATTTGTGTGTAGTATTCTCATTGCTCGCCTTGTGCATCACACTCTCTATGGTAATTTACTAGGGTAGGTCTGGAGATGTATTGAAGGTTTGGCCCAATGCATAGCGTGTCATCAGGCTGCTAGATTGCTATTGGTCAGCATAGAGCGTTTTGCTAGTACCTGGAATGGATACCTCGCTTCAGTGAAGTCTGTTTCTTCAATCAAAACAGCGTGTTCATGTAGCGTCGAACATTTCTGCGCGTCATCCTTTCTTGTTTTTTCCTCCAACATAAGATCTTTTCGTGGTCGACCACAAAATATATGCTTATCAGCAATTGCTTCGATGACCTACGAAGGGCACAAGTTTGGTTTTTGTTGCTTTTCCCCCCTACCAGACCAGCTTTTGCATGCCACAAGAAAGCTTAGGAGCTAGCCCCATGAGCTACCGGCAGCCGGCAAACAAACAGGTTCCTTCCCCCACCTCAGGTAGCAGCTTGGTAGCCTACGGGCGAAGGACCCTCGTCACCACAACTTGCACAGGCCATCATTCCACCACCCCCTTCTGAGCCACAAACATGCAAAGTGGAAATCGAAGATGCTGGTTCCAGCAACAAAAAGATGGCCATTCCAGGAAGAGTTTCTGGCAAGAGGTAATGACCTATGGTTTGTTGAGCTTTATAAGCTGGGATGGTGGTAATGGCTCATTCCCACACATGATGGGGGGGTTCCATCCAGATCACGGTTTGCACTTGTTTTGACACTTTGTTAAACCATATTGGTTATTTGCTCCAGAGGTGACACCTAACATCCTTGTCATGCTAGCTAATTCGAACGCGCGACAAGTTCATGTAGTTGAAGCAGAAGCCTATCTTGAAATGTAAGCAGCCGCAAGAATCCATTTGACACTCAGATTGCCACGTGCTGATTAGTTGATGGGAAAAGTATTCCTAGGAGATTGCTGAACAACAGAGACCAACAACATGCGAGGAAACAGTTGCAATTCAAAATGGGCATGCACATTTTACGAGCCGAAAAACCCAAAAACAACTATGAAAACACTGGCAAAAACAACCGGGCCCGCCGGGCGTCCCGGACGTGTTTTTTCGGTCCAAGGAGCAGGTCCTGCCTCTTGCCAGCAGCTTTCAGCTTCCTCTCCCCTGCGAAGCCGGTGCCCGCCTGGGCAGCTCAAGTCGGGTCATGCGCGGCGTCTGGCGCAAATGCACCGAAAGCCATTTCCGGGAGGAGCCCGAGGTTCTTTTGACATCCAGGGAATGTTGATGGCAACATTCCAAGGAGATCTAATCATGATAGTCCTGATTTAAAGGAAGAAGCCCAGCTACATGCTTACGAACCTTGACCGTCCTCTTCTGCTGGGGTCCCATGTTTCATCACAAGCAGCCAAGCAACCGGAGCACCGTGGGCCGAGTGGAGCACCGGCAGTCTATCAGCAACCTGATCACCTGGCCGCGCTCAAATTCGGTTGGCAAATATGCCGCTTTGGTTTTCTACTGCCACGTGGCAGCTGGGCGTCTCAATGGATTTTCTGCAAGGCAGAAGGAACTTTGCAAACAAAATGAGGCACGCTGCTCCAATCGTGAGGCACTCATTCCCTAGGACCCCGCGCCTCTGCTTTCGCGGAGCGCGCGCTCCAACGACAACTCAATGCCCTCGGCAAAGGTAGATACCAAGCTGCTTGAAGCGGGTTGAAGCGATCCAGACAGGAACGGCACTTCGTCCACAAAATCCTCCTTCAGCAAGTCTTCCGCTCCTTATGCCATCGCTAGGTGGCAGGTGCGAAAAGCGCGACAGGCGCGAAAAAGCGTTGCGTGTATAGTAAGTGGTTGACCCCCCGGCCCGTGCGGTTTGCTTGATAAGTTGTGCACTACTCCCAAGCCTCAGCAAAGACAGAGCACAGAAAGCGGAGTGCCAAAAAAAGTGGCGCTAAGGCGCCGAGTTTGCCGAGGTGGCTATGCAAAAAGGAATCCACGCGCCTGTACAAGTCCAGCATATTCTGCCGCACGACTCCTCCACCGCGGCGCTCCCCTGCATACTGTACATAGCTGGCTGTCGTTGGCCAGTCCTGCGCGACAAGCTACATGTTCGCCCCAAAACACGCGGCTGTGTCAAAAGGGAAGCTTTTGTGGGGGCTCCTTGAGGAAAACAAGATGCAACCAAGCATTTGGAGGGGTGTTTCCCTCTCTCTCCCTCTCTCTCTCTCTCTCTCTCTCTCTCTCTCTCTCTCTCGCTCTCGTCAAAATACATGCACTACACGTGATTGCACATGTGGGCCTGCTTTGTATCATAGGAAAAGGACTACACTGCATGAGTGTGATAACAATCAAATTGCACTTAGCAGTACAGAAGTGAGCTGTGATTTGACGTGGTAGCGGAGCACGGCATGCTCCATTAAGCACCAATCATTCCCCAATTAGTCAACATCTCAGACCAGCAGCATCAGCAGGCATCGCTACGACCTACTTTCCCAACACAACAAGGGGGAACTCCTGCGTCGCCAAACGAAACTGGAACAGTAGGAGGGACACAAGGACTACAGCAAGAAAACGAAGTGCAACGACTACACAGATACAAACTGACACCACCCTACTTCCACGCGAGTATTCCAACCATGAAGAGTGGATATTTGAACTACAAGCCTACCTGGGACTCATTAGGGAGTTTGATACGAGACTACAACTGTCAAGGGAGGCTACCACAGTTGAGGATCAACACATCATTGTAGTACATCCAAACACAAAAAAAACACCTTGGTGAACCTTTCCCGAGACTTCCACCACGGCAAGTCATCAGCATTTGCCGAGTACCTGCAGCACAAATGAGACTTCTCAACAGATTCAGCCTGCCAGTTGGAACGAGAAGCATCGGGTACTTGACACTACTGAAGCCATCCTTTCAAGAAAAAACCTGCTGGTTACGTAGCGAGCAAAACAACTACGACAACCACGAAAACCTACAATACAAAACCAACAGCGACTGGGTGTCCTATTCGCGTATAAGGATGCGAAAGGACAGCTACAAAATACCGCGAACGCGACTAACTGCCATACAAGTCGACTTTGACATCAAAACACCGGCACGTGTCCCAAACATGGCCTCCAAGGACTACATCAACAACCTACACGCGCTCATGCTTGAAGGCGGCAAAAACGGCATGCTACGAAGTGGCAATGAGGGCACTTTGGTAGCCTTCTAAATACAACTGCATCCAAACAAGGTTCAATGACAGTAATGTTAGCACCCGATTAGTAATGGGATAATCAATAATTCAAAGTTGTTTTCCTTATTGTGGTTCAGCCCCATTGTTGATGGGGACCAGAATCACTGAAAGTTTTTTTTGCCGCGGGGGGGGGGGCACAAATCCAAAATATCAACAAAATGTTGATGGTGGCCCACTTGCTTAAAAGCATTCCCCTTTCACTTGGTGGCCCAAGTGCTTAAAAGCATTCCCCTTTCAATTGGTTGCTCAATCACAAAACCCAAAGCCAGCTGAAACCTCTGAAATTTGAAAACCATCCCCAGCCCTGAAACTGCAAATTATTAATAAAACCGTGTTTAACAAATGAAAAACAAGAAAAAGAAAAAACAATCAGGACACGGGTACCCCTCACAGACCCCACTGAGCCACAACAATGGCATTCTTTAGGGGAAGGTGTGGATGGGATCGCTTCCTTCGGTCACTCATCCACATCATGTCCTTTCCCTTACCCCGCCTTCTCTTTGTGGCGCGTTCTACATCATTCTATTTTCATATTTTCCTTTCGTCAATTATAGAGACTGGGGAACGAAGGGAGCCAGGAGCCGTCAATGAATGAAGCGAATGGATGTGAGCGAAATGATTCCCTTCTTACCAGCTCCTTTAACCCGCTGTAACGACAATATGATGGAGGCTTACCAATTTCCAGGATTAACAGACGGGAAATGCCTCCAATCATATCACTTCCTCACTTCTCTGTCTCCATCCATTCCTTTCCCGGCCTTTTTCATCTCTAGATGAGGCCGTGGGATGGATGTAGGAGAAGGAAGTGAAAGGAAGAGATACAGCGGGAGAGATGGAAACCGCTGACGAGTGAATCCTCTTTCATCTACATTCCATCCCTTTCCTTAGTTGCAATCCCCCAGCCGATTCCAGAAAATAAACTGTCAGTTGCTTTACTCAAAAGCATTCACCTTTTAATTGGTGGCCCACTTACTTGAAAGCATTCCCCTTTTTCAATTGGTGGCCCACTTGCTTAAAAGCATTCCCCGTTCTGAAAGGCACACCCTTTGAATGGCTACTAAAGTAATTAGTATTCCAAACAGTATACTCAGGAAGAAGTGGTTGCAATACTAAAGCAGTATTCCAAAGAGTCTGCTCAGGAAGAAGTGGTTGCAATACTAAAGTAGAATTCCAAAAGGGAAGTGGCTGCAATACTAATGTCAGGAGACGATTAGTAACCCCCCCCCCCCCCCGATTAAAGATTCCCCCTTTTCCCCCCAGATTCTCACCAATACTAAAGTAAAGTGCCAACAAGGTTTCCCAAAAAAAACCTACCCAATTATTTTTGGGCCCTCCCCAAAACCCCCCCTGATTAAAGGTATCCCTCTGCAGCCCCCAAGCCAACAAAAACCTGCCAGAAAAGGCGCTTTCCTTCTTGCTTAGTATTTGCTTAGTCCGTGCTTAAACCCACCAATACTAAAGTCACTATTGAACCCCTCAAGTTTTTCCCAAAAATGTGCTTCCCCCGAAATGCGCTTTCTTTATTAAAATTTGTCTCAAATGACAAGGTGTTCAAGCTCACAAAGGGGACCCCCCTTGGAGGCCAGTCCCCCCTCATTAACAGGAAACCCCCCGCGATTAATCAGGGCCCTTTTGGGCTCTAAACCAAAAAATGTGCTGTTGCCTTTTAAAGTCCTACTGCCCCGAAGGGACCAGAAGTAAGAGGACGAGGACCGAAGGGGCTCCAGAGGCCCCAAAATCCGCCATGGTTTCGACGTCCCAAAAGTGAGCCTACAGAATTCTAGTGCCTCCATTGTTGAGGGGGCGGGGGCCCTTTATTAATCAAGTTCCAACATTACGTCATTCACCCAACCTACAGTAGCCGTCAAGGTAGTGCCGAACGACTGCATCGCACTCTGATAGGCCAAGTTTGGACTATCAACCGCTATGTAGTACACAGCGATGGCTAGCTTCGAGCAATTGTTGGGGTAGAAGCTCCGAACGTGCACTCGTCGAGTTTGGAGAAACACTGCTCTACATGCAACCACAACACCTGAAGCTGCCAAAAGCCAAACTACGCACGCCGACGTGCATCTGGCAAGGTTTCAGAAACGGTGAAAACTACATGAGCAAAGAAGTAAGCTGTCATTTGACGCCTCTGTCTCATTTTGGCGTATTTCCAGTCGCCATTTCAAACAAATCGCTGTCATGTTTCAGGACGCCAGGCAACATCCGTATGGGAGCGGCTTGTGACGTCGCATCTCAGGCAGTTCAACAATGGGTGGGTAGTTGGCACTTTTGGATCTGCTTACAAGTCATATGCCCTGGCCGGAAAACCTGACAACCAACAGTTTGGATAGTATGTACCCTATTCTGAACAAATGCCAGCCTTCAAACCTTTTAACACTAAATAGAGTCATCAACCGAATCTCTTTCAGTATGACTGATTCTAGATTGTCGCCGAGTGAAACAAACTTACTGCCAAGGAGACTTGGAGGTTCTATGTCTATGTATCTCTATCTATCAGTATGCATCTGTGTCTATCTCTATGAATCTCTGTTTATCTCTGTTTATCTCTCTTTATCTATCTCTATCTATCTCTATCTATCTCTATCTATCTCTATCTGTCTCTATCTAATTGTCTCGATCTATCTCACTATATTCTTATCTCTGTATCTCTCCACTCTAGATCTCTATTAATCTATCGATCTATCTAATCTAATCCAATCTAATAACGTGTTTTCTTCCAGAGTGCTTTCCATGCAGCGAGGCGTCCCACTTGAAGGGTCCCTCGCATCAATGCACTGAAGCACATGGTGTGAAATGATCTTGTGACAAGAATCTTGCCTTTTGCGTCAAATGGCTGTGACTCAAAATAGGTACCCAAAATGGAACCCCGGTAAGTAGAAACAAAGGCCAAAACCTGCGGTTTGCCCCTCCTGTTTCATTTTGAGCCACACCCAAATCGCACATCTGGCTCTTCGCTTACAGCTCTCCTTGGTCTCACACCCCGGCGGCGCCAGTTTCGCAGCCCAAGGCTGCAGCGCGTCGGCGTCGTCCCGCTCGTACTCCACCACCAGCAGCGGATGCGACAGCTCCAGGTCCGTGGGCGGCGGCTTCGCCGCCTTGTCGAGTGAAGGCGCAACGCCCGAAATTCAGCGATGGGAATGCCAAAGGGATGGCTCACCCTCGTCCATGAAGAGTTCGCCCGGTTTCGGGCTGCGGGACATACATTGTTGCAAGGAGACACACCCTGGTGTCCCTTGCTGCAAGAAGCCCTGTCAACGTCATGCAGCTTGTCTCAACTCCGAATTTCCACTTGGGTTTCCAGCTCCAGTCCATCACACACAACCCCTGGCCCAAGTTGCCCCAAAACCAACAAATGATAACCATCCGCCAGGCGGGTTCGGGTTCCATTGGTTGCTCACCAAAGGGTCTCCGAAGTAGATTCTGTTGAAAGGTGGGATCTACCTAAATGTCAGCACGGGCGGCAGTCAATTTTTCTTGAGCCAGTATCATGTCGGAATGCCACTACCTATCAACACCCCCCGCTTTGCAGAGGTGCGTTGGTGAGAACAGTACTTTGTACATGTTTCCCCCCAGGCCTGAAGCAAAGTCCTCTGAGGTCGCGACGATGAAGACGTTGAGCCTCAGTGTGATAGGTGGCAAGCCATGGTGGTTTGAGGCCTGTTGCATCAATGGCCGCTACAACTGCAATGCATTTGGTCTTTTGCAGGAGCATGCCAATCGAGTCGGCCGACCACGACTTCCGTCGGGCAATACACATGTAATTTTCATGTGAATGCTTGAAACTGAATTCATTTTGTTGCCGCAAACGGAGGTGATCTCACGACCACAGCTTCCGCTGGGCGAAATCGAAATGACAGCCGGTGGTGGCGGCCGTGGATTGACCTACGGCCGCAGCTTCCGCCGGGCGTGCAAACTCGGCACAGCTAATGTTGCGGCATCAATGGATGAAAGATAATAGTTTTCGAACATGACATCACCAATGAAATTTGAAAAGATCACCGCAACAAAAGCTAAACTTTTCGTGATTGATGCGGGTGCTCACCATCCCCACGGGCCCTGACGCCATTGATCCCATCCATAGGACCACCCGTAATTCCAAGAGCTCCAGTCCTGGCGCCCCTTGCTCTTGCTTTCCCTTGGCATAGGGCTCGGGGCGGATGGACCGGGTGATTGCCCTCCACTGAGTGTTCCTCGCCTCGACAGGACAGCTTCTTGTCCGGCCGGATGAGAATTGCGGGATCTCCAGTTCGCCTGTGCTAATCGTTCCTTGGGAGTCGTGCTTTACCCAGGAGGTACGAATAAAGCTGATCATCACCTCCAAGATGTTCTCGACGCTCCCTTCCGGGACGTATGCTCCGCTGTGCCCAATGATAATAGGCACCTGCTTGCCGGGAATGAAACGATAGGCACACATGACCGCAAACTGCATGATGGTGTAGAATCTCGCATGGTGCGCGATGAAAGCCTCCGTTGACACGTTCAACTCGTGGGGATCGCGCTTGTTGGGGCTGGGAATGAACACCAACTTCGTGCCAGTGTTCTGAGACCCTCCCCGATCGCGCTCCTCCCGTGTGCGGCCAGGGTCTGCAACGATCGCTCGGGCGATCCTGCCTAGGAAATCCAGGCTTTCAGGAGTCAACCCTTGCGTAGCGCAATTATAGGCATAGAACGGGTCGACCGAGAGGCGGTCGGACACCTTCTCGCAGCCCATTGCCAGCGCTTTGGTCAGATGCGTCTTTGCCGTCTTTCTGAGTGACGCCTCGACGGAGATTCCTCCCGCTTGTCGCCTTCCTTGGCGTGATGCTTGGAGCGGATCCACTTCCCACCGCCCCCCTGGAGGTCTTCCAAGTAGAAGACCATGTTTTGGAGAGACGCGGTGCGCTCAAGGCGCACAACCTTGGTGGCGATCCGGGCATCCGTCCACTCGACCATATCTGATCGGCATTCCTGACACAAAAGGTAGCCGTCGATCTGCTGGTTGCCACAATTCCAGCACTTCACAACCGGGTTCTTCATCATGGTCGTGAAGAAGAGGTCTTCCCACTTTGGCTCGTTCTGGTAGCGGTTCCGAAGGTTGTTCCAGCCGCGACCATACCCTTTCTCTCCCCTGGAGAGCTCGGGCACCCGTCGAAGGGTTGCAGGCGCAACCTGATATGTCGGCCCTGCAGGTCTCTCATTCGACTTCCCCTTCCGGGGAGCGAGCTCATCGATCGTGGCAATCTCAGTCACGGCACCAGGAAGCAATTTGCCGTTCTTCGTCCCCTCAACGACAGTCCGCCAATGCCTCCATGCCTTTTCTGCGGTCAGGGTGTTTTCACTTCTGAAGAAGTTCCCAACGGATTGGCGTCCTGGGGACCTGGCGTGAGCTCGGATGTTAACGCTTCGCGGTACCTTTTGCGAAGCTCGGGGTACGCACGATTGAAATAGAGGAACTCATTCTTGCGGGTGTGGAAAGCGTAAATAATATATGCATTTCCAACCCAATCGGCAGACATAAACGCCTCATCGCTCGTGAAGAGTCGAATGCCGTCTTGCATCATGAGCTCCGTATCGAAAGCAATCGTGACGGGCCTTCCGGCTCGCGTTCCCGCCAGCTTCCTCATCTGTGCCTCCCAGGGTGGCGTGGGGTTGAAGTAGACGTGGGCTCTGCCTGTCGACTTCGGATAGCCCCCCGGGACCAGGCCAAACTTGATGATGCTCTCGGCAGACCTGAGGTCACAGGTATGGTAGAGAACAGCAGGGAAGCCCCTGCGCCAGAGATCCGTCTGCTCGGGATGCCGTACCGCTCTCGGGTATTGCCCGCCCAAGTACTTTGCCGCAGTGAACTCTTCGTCAAAGGAATACAAATTCGTCAGAATCGCCTGCTCAGTGTATTTCCTGGTGAGCTCGTTGTGGTGTCCTTGCACGGCCCTCACCCGCAACGCCTGATACGGCAATCCTTTCCAGGATGCTTCCCCCAATGGAGGGGGTCCAACCATCACGCGGAATCTCCGGGTATTGTTATTCTGGATGCAGATCATCATTTTCAAGGCATGACATTGGCAATCCGGTCGTTCAAATGCCTGACCAGTGCATCGAACTCCACCGACACCACGGAATGGTGGGTGTGGTTTCCCGTCTTTGAATGCCCCTCCCCGGAGGAAGTACGACATCTTTTTCGAGATAGCCACAAGCCTGTAATCGCGGTCCATATTGCCCTTGGCACATGCCCCATATCCTCAACCTCGAGCCACTCGCACTGCTCCTCGGCCGGGATCTTCGTGTTGATCTTCCGGGTTTTGGCCCAGTCCTCCCAAAAGATCTTTTCCTGCTTCGGGTCCTTCTGCTTTTTCGACCGGGGTTCCCCCTCGGCGTTGCCAGGCGGCGCTTTGGCCTTTGCAATCCTCGGCATCGCCTTCACCTGGGGCTTGTCGGCCGAACCGGCAGCCGTGGGGTCCGACTCGTCTCCAATTTCGATGAAACCAGTCGACTGGGGTTCCCCCACAGCGCTCTTTGCAGCAGTTCCGCGCCTTGGTGGCGGCGGAGTTGGCGGTTGCTTGGATGTGCTGGCGCCCTCCGTCACGGACTCAAAGGCGACCGACTCCGCGGTGATCATGGAACTCATCCCTGCCGCCTCGGATTCATCTGCCTCTGACACCAGTTCCAATGACACAACCGTCTCCTGGTCGAACAAGTCTCCTTCCGCGATGACGATCGACTGGCCTTCCGGCGCAGCGCGGTGCACTCCTGGGGGCAGGTTGGTTGGGTCCCACCCAAAATCCTGGGTGTCATCGCCCAGCAGGAGCCACTTGTCCTTGTCCTCATCGTCAGGCACAATGGACAACCCGTGCTGTTCCGCTGTGTGGCCAATGTATTGTGACATGGCGATCTCGACGCGGTCTAGCTCGTCGTCGGAGTTCTCTTCTCCCTTGTCGACGGCCTCGAGAATGATCTCGGATTCGTCGACCGTGGCCCCCCGCATCTCGATGGTCATGGCATTGTAGGACTCGTCCTCAGCCACTTTCATCCAGGCGGCCACGTCGGCGTCGATCTCCTCGCCCTCCTGGTCATGGGACCAGTCGGGCCTCTCCTCCATCGCAGCATACTCGTGGAGTGCTTTGGCCAGCTTCAAGCATGTGGGCCAGCCAAACAGCACAGGATCCACCGGTTCTCCTTTCACATAGGGTTCAACTCTCCCGATAGCCGGGAGAGCACACCTGATCCGTTGGGCCAACAGCTGCGTGTTGATTGCCGCATGAAGGAACTTCGACACAACCTTCCGGTTGGCATTGCTGTATGTCATATGCACGTCATCGTACCTGTGAGCCAGCAATGTCATGACCGACGGGTCGATCGAGTCGATCGCCTTGATGCGGGTCCCATCGTCGATGTCCCCATTCGCAAGGTGTCGAAGGCAGCCGTTCATGGCCTCATTGTAATCGGAAGTGAGGCCATAGTCCTCGGCGTCCGGGTTACTGATGAAAGTAATGTCCCGAATGCGTCCGAGCCCAACAGCCTCTTTGAAGAAGTCGAGCTGCTCAAACACGCGGGTCTTCTGAACCTTTGGCCATTCCGACGCGGCCTTCCGGCCCGCCTCCGTACGATTGAACCGTTTCTCATGGATCCATCTGCACCCCACGTACCCATAGTTGCCGAAGACATCGTTTCCTCCCCACAATACGTAAACCGAAATGGGAAGCTGTTTGATGCCCTTCTTGGAGTTGTCCTCGGCGATGAATCGCACTTTGGCCTGCATGGTGCTATAAATAGCGTCAAGCCCCTTTCCCCAATCCATGCCGTGGTAGATGTTGCGGACCCCCTTCAGCTGTTCGGCCTGAAGCAGCTCCGCCACATGGTGCTTGGTCGGGAATTTGTCGTTCGGCTCTTCGACCATGGCGCAGGAAGAGTCTCCAATGACCAAAATGTCGACCACCTCTTCCGAGGGGCATGGCACAGCGCGAAATTCCGCTGGGGCGTTGCGCCCTAGGAATTGGATCAAGTCCCAATAAGCCATTTCTGAGTTGCTCCCGGCTAGGGTTCCTCCCAGCATCACTCCCGGTGCCTGTTCTTGCGATGCGATAGTCCGAGTCACCGTGTCCGGTTCCGGGATAGTCGC